GAATATTGGTTTCATTGTTTAGTTGGGTTTGAAATTCTAAGTAATAACGAGTATAAAGACAACTATACCCCTACACAATAATAACAACAACAATAATAGTAGTAATCTAAAAAAGTTGGTAATGGTATAATTATCCTATTTGTTTTCCATTAAAAAAAAAAACAAAACAAAACAAAAACAAAACAAAATACCAAAGGTGGGGTGGGGTGGGGTGGGGTGGGGGGCGGGGGTGGCTATAGAATATGTTTTCTATTAACCAAACAAAGGAAAAGTCAGTTTTCCTCAAATTCAATGAAAACATTTTCCTGCAAACCAAATGTGCCCTAAATATAAATAAAAATGTTCAGCTCTACCATGTACAAAAAAAATATAGTGAATTTTCCTACAAAAAGGTTTGATCATTTTATTATTGTGTGAACTCTTTATTAAATTCTATTGGGTGGAGTATGATTCTCATGTCAAAACGAGTTCGATCATTATATTGTCAGTACTCTCTAGGTCTAGCCCGTTGCATAAGGTTAAAAAAAAAAAAAAAAAAAAAAAACTTATATATTGGCAAGTATAGAAAAGATGTTAGGCTGAGCTTCTTGCTTGCATGAAATGAATTATTTTTTTTAAGCAATAAGTGCAATTAGAATTCTTTCTTTTCATTATCTATGCAAAAATCTGAATTCTTTCAGCTCAATAATTTCTCTCAACCTTTTCTTTTGTATAGAAATAATTTATTCGTTTGGGTGTGACTTCAATGATTCCCCTGGGAGACTTCTTTGCTAACTAGAGAAATAACAAGTGTCAACTGATCAATTAATTCAAAATAAGTTGAGAAGTTTTACTTTGTTAGTAGCTGCAAGGTGTAAGGTTCGTGTGGGCATTACTTTACACAAGTATTAGGATGTATATAAGCTTGCTGAGGTACATCTCGCAATTTACCTCTTTTATTTGATCTGACTTTTTTTTTTTTTTTTTTTTTTGAGTACTACCGACTCTGTTACAGTGTAGTTTAGTTATATATAAATTATCCTTTTTCAAGTATTAATTAAATTGAATATGAACTCAAATCATATTACTTTTATATTTCACTATTATATGTACCGAACATTATTAGTTTTTTTTTTTTTAAAAGGACAATAGAACCTTGCCAAATATTAAATTATTCTTCCCCATTTTAGATAATGGTAGGATTTGTCTATTGAAAAATATGTTACATAAATTCTCCCTACATAAGGTACCTTTAGTTTTAATAATTTGAAGTGTAAATTTAGTCTCTGACTTAACAAATTAGAAAAATTCAATCTCTTAGGAATTAAATATGACATTTTGATAATAATTGAATCTATATCAATTACTCACTTAACAAAGTAGCTAATTCAATCTCTAATAAGGAATCAAATATGACATTTTGATAACAATTGAATAATTAAATCTATATCATAAGTATTTTTTTTTTTTTTTTTTTGTTGCCTAAAGGTATCTCTCCGGCCGATAGCCAGAAGACAGTGGCCAAATGATTTGCTCCATTCACATGGGTGGGAACCTCATGTTTAAGGGACGAGGTGCTAAACCATCACGCCAACCATGTTGGTTTATATCATAAGTAATTGAAAGACTAAATTTACATCACAGTATAGTTATAACTAAGAGAACAAAAACTGTTTGGGAGTAATCCTAGCTAGTCGAATTGGTCGGATAATTGATTTGGTACTTATAAAATTCTAAATTTAACTCTTTATTGAAATTACCTATCTTTTGACCTTCTTGATTTTAGTTCGTCCTTTACTCAACTAAGATCACAAAATAGGTCTTGCCCAAAAATGTCATTTTCAAAAAAAAAGAAAAAAAGAGAGAACTATAATTTCCCTCATAATGCAAAAAGTCACGTGTGGTTGAAGAAAAGATGGAGTATAAAATCAAAGTGATTGATGGCATCTAGACCCCATTAATCCCCAAACTTTGGTACAGTGTTTACTTAATAAATGAGCCTATACAAGATTTTTTTACAAGTAGTTTTTACCCCAATTAATTAATCACTAATTTTTTTTACCCCAAATAATTAAAACATCTTTAAGACTAAAGAGTTGTCATTAAATGGGTCTGACTGAGACTCATTATAAGATTGTATTAGTCACATATCATGAGATATAGAGACAAATGCAATCTAAAAATAAATATCATTTTAATGCAGTGAATACTACCATCTTCTAATTAGATTCACATAGAGGCATGCATCATGGATTAAATTAATAATTTACAATTATAATATATATTTCATATTTATTAAACCTGCGTGCCTAAATATTCAATAGTTTAATTTGTCATGAATATTTCCACTTTCTAATTAGGAGACCCACAAGAATTATAATATTTAATAATTCCATATTAAATAATATATATTTCATGTCAATAGATATTGCCAACCCCTCGGTCGAGGATGTAATTTCACATTGTCTTTTTATTACAATTTACCTCCCCAATATAATTTTTAAAATATTACATAAAAGTGAAGTATGTTTATTTAATGTACACCATCAATTGGTAATTTTAAGTTTTCCTTATTACCCAAAAATTGAATATCTCCATGATAAATCAACCAGAAATAAATGTTATAAATATTAATCTGAAAAACTGTTAAAATTCCACCATTTAATTAATTCCTTCTGTCTCCTCAATTTTTGAAATATATTTTATTTTATACTTCGGTAATTCTTGCTTCTCTGGATTCATTTTAAACTCATAGAATCCTACTCTTAGGAGGCGTTTGGTTCATGTCATCTTTGATTACCTATGTAATCTGAGTCTGGTAATGTTATATTACCTTGTTTGGTTCAAGTTATGAGATTACCTGGTAATGTTATATTACCTGAAAGCTGATGTGGCGGTAATGTTTCAAGGTAATCTGATTACCTTCATTTTCTTAGGTAATCTTAGATTACCTTGAATTATTCCAACTTTGTCATTGTTAACTAAGTCTAATATTACCTTAGTATTTTATAACAATAATACTAATAAAAATAATAATAATAATAATATATTTATACAATAAAATACACATGTGTATATTTATATATTTAGTTTTTTAATATTTAAACATTGATATACATTCATACATATAAATAAATAAAATAAATACACACACATAAATAATATATATATATATATATATATATATATATATATATATATATATATATATATATATATATTATTGAGGACATTATTATAAATTAATCCATATAACTTAAAATATAACCCTTAACCAAACAAAGTAATATTATATTCCACAATACAAACCAAACACATATGGTAATCTTACATTCCGATAATCTCACATTACCTTCCTGGAGATAATCTTATTACTTGGGATAATCCAAGATTCCGTGAACCAAACGCCCCCTTAGAAGCACTGAATAAGTAAATTGCGAGTCTCACAGTCAACATAACCCAATAATTAGAATCTAGTCTTTATGTGCGCACAAGATTGATAAAAATAAGAGAAAAAAGGGAAAATGCCAAAATATTATAATAATAAACTTGAAAGTTTTAATAATTATAAAATTAATTTCGTATTTTTTTAAATGAGGATATCGTTCTCATTAGAACCCAACTATATATATATATATATATATATGGAAGAGATCAGGTGCATTTGAGGCTTCCTGTGCGGTTGGATGCACATTAAGCATTACACTGACGCACTTTAAGTACACAACACACGCACATTAAACACACAAACAAAATACCAATGTTGCAAAAATCGTGCCTAGGCGCCATTGCGCCGCCGCGAGGAACGGCCTCCGCGGCCTCCTCCGGTTTATTTTTTTTTTCTTTTTTTTTTGAAAATGTCGGAAAAGTTTCGGAAGGCATAACTTTTGACTCGGTTGTCCGATTTGAACAATTTTTTTTTTCAAATCGCGTATTTTTTCGAGATCTATCCACCGCAAACGGCCGAAGGCGATTTGGTCCACTAATTTCTCAAAAAAATACTTCTTTAGCTCTTAATTTTAGTTTTTTATGTATTTAGATGGTTTAAAAAATCTTTTGAACACTTTTATAACCACTTTTGTAAATAATTTCTAAGAAATAACTATAGAAACCTTATGTTTTATTACTAAATTTTAAAAATTTTAAATTTTAAATTTTATTTTTAATTAAAAAAAATAAAAAAAAAATAAAAAATCGGCGCCTAGGCGCCCTAGGCGCTAGGCACCCCCTTGGCGCCTAGGGGGCGCCTAGCGTGTTTTGCAACATTGCAAAATACATTCATAAAACAAACTCACGCACATTAAACACAAAAGTCAGACATCTTAAGCACAACCCTCACGCACTTTAAGCACAAAACACACAGTCACCTTAAGTTTTAACAATAAAATCACATTAAGTACGCACTCACGCACCTTAAGCACAAAACTAATGCACTTTAAAGTTTCAACAACTCACATTAAGTACACACTCACGCACCTTAATCACCCGTTCGCTCCTAGAGGCTGAGAGCTGGTCGAGGGAGAATCATTGCTTGTGTGAATTGAACTCGTTTACCCCTACAAAGAGAGCTCATTTACCGTTTGATCTACCACCCTGGTTATATATATATATATATATATATATATATATATATATATATATATATATATATATATATATATATATATATATATATATATATATATATATATATATATATATATATATATATATATATATATAAAGTACCCACGGCGCAACTTAGCATGCCCCATCTTTCTGACTGGCATAACTACCCTGGCCAAGAGCTAAAATACGCGGAATAACTTGAAACCCCAGCCCCACAACCCTTGCTCGTTTTTGGGAACTTTCTTTTTAAGCGCAGAGCTCTGATTTTAGAAGAGAAACTGAAATTAGAAAGCTAGAGTGAAGAGTTTCCACACATACCTACCTATACATACACACTATTTATATCTATACATGTATGCATATGTATTGTGCATAGAGTTTCAGAAAGCTGGGGAAGTGAACAGGGAAGGAGGGAGAGGAAAGGTCTGTATGTGCTTAGAAAGTTGCAGGTTTTCTGCGCGTGTTTTATATGGTGCCCTGCAACTCTGTTGCATACAAGGCAATTGAATAATTTTTATACCTAGAGGGAGGGGGGTTGTAGAAGGGGCCTGGTCAAGATTTGCTTTTTGTTTTTCTTCATTTCCAACACAGTGTCTTTGTTTGGGGCGGGAGAATCAAGGAGATCTTTGTGTCACAGATCACTATTCCTCAAGAATTGCAATGGGTACGTGCCATTTCTTCTCTTTGTTTTCCCCTTTTCTCTGGTTCTGCGCTTGCCTCTTGAGTTGACAGTTTTTAAAAAATGGTGGTTTAGTGTTGTTCTCAATTGGTTTAGTTGATTGCTGTTATTATGTGATTCAATTTGAGCTTGTTGGTTGTAATGTTAAACTGCAAGTGTTATTTATGGGCATTGTTAAGCTTCTGGTGGTAATTTCTTACTTGTGGTTGGTTGGTTAGTACTTTTTTTTTCTATCTTAATGGTTTATATGATTTGGTGGTGTTTGTTTTCTGTTTGTGTAATTATTGAATGTTTGTTGTGTCTAACCACTGGCTTGTTGGGTTTTTGTGCTGTCTTTCAGGCACAAAACTCTGCAGAACTTGTGTGTTTTGTGCTGTTTATTCTTGACTGTTTTAATGGCTAATGGTTCCCACAAAGAGACAGAGACAGAGCCCCACCACCCCCACTTAACCCCACCTCACACCTTTCTTAGGAGTATAGCCTTGGAAGAAAATTGTAGACTTTGCTAGATTAACCATTGAGATTCTCTGGTATTGGTAACCTTGGACTCTTTAATTGGACTGCTATGTTATCTGGATTATTCTAGTCTTCTAAATCTTCATTATTGGGTAGCTTTATTTATTTATTCTTTCTTTTTCTCTTGTGTTCATCATACTCTCAATTACTTTCTTTTCACTCTTGGTTCTGGTATCTTGTATGTGATTGGTGCTGATGATTCTGTGATTTTTTTTTTTTCTCTCTCACTTTTTCCCTTTTTTCTGAGCATTAATGGTCTCTGAACTTTTTTATATTAAATTGTTTCTTCAGAGGCTACAGTGAGTTACTCAAAGAACATGGATGATGAGTATGAGAAATTCATCAGAAGAATGAATCCTCCAAGGTAACAATTATTCTCATCACTTATTATTAAATGCCATACCAATTTTGCCCCCTGACATTAACTCCATTTTTTCTTTGTCTTCTTGCCAGAGTGGTCATTGACAATGAATCCTGCAAAAATGCCACTGTTATACAGGTATGCCTTTCTCTTGGTTCTTATCTGGTTTATAGTCTGAAACATTTTTTGACTATTCTGAATATTCTTTTATGATTTTTTTTTTCGGGTACGATTTTAGGTGGATAGTGCTAACAAACACGGTACACTTCTGGAGGTGGTACAAGTTCTTACTGATCTTAACCTTATTATTACCAAGGCGTATATATGCTCTGATGGAGGATGGTTCATGGATGGTAATGTTTTTCTTTAATTTACGATATGGAAAAGGGTGATAAAAAAAGCAAAGAAATTGGGTAGATTCTTGGAGTGAAGTTTGAGTTGATTGTTTCTGTTTAACTGTGTTTTTGGCAGTCTTCAATGTTACTAATCAAGAGGGGAGCAAAATAATGGATGAAGCAGTTTTGGATTATATTATGAAGGTTTGTTGCCTCTGCAATATTTTTATTATTTTGGGTTAGACCATAAGGTGTCCTGAACAGGCCCTAACTGTAGAAGGCACCTTTAAGCCCGTACCATACCCAGACTAATCCCTGTTTGCACCGGGCCACCCCAATTAAGGGCCAGATTGGTTTTTCCATACAAGAAAGTATTCGAACTCCTGATCTCTCTTAAGGGACAAGAGTGCATGGCCAGCCACTCACGCCAACCAAGCTGGTTGCAATATGATTGTTGAAAAAATTGCCTTTGGATTTGTGTTATGAATCTACTGAGTTTACGGTTTTGTTTTCAGTCTCTTGGCCCGGATTCTTGCTTTGCGTCGTCTATGAGAAGATCGGTTGGGGTTACTTCGGGAACGGACCACACCTCAATCGAGTTGATCGGGAGTGACAGACCCGGATTACTATCTGAGGTGAGTGCGGTCCTCACCAACCTAAAATGCAACGTGGTGAACGCTGAGGTTTGGACACATAACACCCGAGCTGCAGCCATAATGCAAGTAACTGATGAGGAAACCGGGGGTGCAGTTACTGATCCCGAGACGTTGTCTATGATTAAGAAGCTCTTATGCAATGTACTCAAGGGGAGCAACAAATCTCGGCATGCTAAGACGCAGATCACTCACGGGGCTACTCACACCGATAGAAGACTCCACCAGCTGATGTTTGCTGACCGAGATTATGAACGTGCAAGTGACGAAGCGTTAAATCATCCCGATAGGCCTAATGTGAGCGTTACTAATTGGCACGATAGAGACTACTCGGTAGTGACAATTCGTTGCAAGGATAGACCAAAGCTTCTCTTTGACGTTATCTGCACTTTAACAGACATGGAATATGTCGTTTTTCATGGCAACGTAGATGCTGAGGGACCCGAAGCTTACCAGGTACCTTCAAAAATCTCGAACTAAAAATGAATATTATATTGCTCTCTTATATACTTTTGTACTAAAATAAATAAATTCCGTGCTTTGATTTGAAGGAATACTGCATAAGACATATCGATGGCTCCCCTGTAAAATCAGATGCAGAACGACAAAGAGTAATCCATTGTCTCGAAGCAGCTATCGAAAGAAGGGTATCCGAGGTCAGAATGCATAATTTCACTTTTATGTTTATGCTATTATGATTCACCTAACTTTCCAGAACAGTTAAAGGTTAATGAAAAGCCAAAATATGGAGAAAACAGGGAAAAGTAACATGAAATTAGGGGCTTGGCTTTACAGGAATATAATGTTCTTTACAATTATAATCACTTAACATAACAGTGACAAATAATCATATGACACCTCTTTGACAGATAATGTAGTCTTGGCTTTTTTATTGTTTCTTTATAATGATGCAGACAGGCCTATAACACACACGACCGAGATTTTCCGAGGGGGATAGGAGGCTTTCTAGACAACTTTGACTGAATTTTTTCTGGGTTTAATATAATATTGCAGGGATTGAAGCTAGAACTTTGCACTACAGACAGAGTTGGGCTGCTATCAAATGTGACACGAATATTTCGGGAGAACAGCCTTACTGTCACTAGAGCTGAGGTTGCAACGAGAGGGGGCAAAGCTGTCAACACTTTTTATGTGGGCGATGCCTCAGGGTACCCGGTGGATGCGAGGATCATAGAATCCGTGAGACAAACAATTGGACAGACTATCCTGCAAGTGAAGGGTAACCCGGAAGAGCAAAATCCTACTCAAGAATCTCCAACCAGGTCCCTCTTTGGTGGCATATTCAAGTCCAGATCTTTCTGCAATTTCGGCCTAGTTAGATCCTATTCTTGAAACATAATCTTCCATCTCTTGTATATTCAACCCCTCACTTTAGGTTCTGTTGCTCTTTATCCGCCATTTTACCCCTTGAAAGATCATTTTCCTGAGCTCAAAAAAGAGAACCCAAACACACAGCTAAGCTACTGATTGTAAATATGCATGATTTCTTGCTTTTTAGCCTTTTATAGTCAATTGGTTTCACTTTGTTGATCCAATGAAGCATTAGAAATCTTTGTATTGGGATATTGCATTTCAATCCAGGTTGAAAGCCATGATGCGGTCATGTCAATGTTTTTTTTGGAGCTCTAATACGCTCAAATTTGGTTAATTAGGAGTAAGAAATCTATTCAAAATGTTTTTTTTTTTTTTTTTTTTTTTTTTTATCTGTTATGGTCCTAAATATAGGGTGGTAGCATATGAATGAACACACTGAATTATTTATAAATTGACATCATGTTTAGTTTGTAAAATGACAATTTTTGGAAGGTTTAACCCAAAATTCTTCAATTGTTAACACAGATAGGGCCATCCACAATGTACTTTCAATAGTATATAAAATTATATACTTCCAGTATTCAAATAATGTACTTTTTATGACAAATTATTGTATGGACTATAGTCCACACAATTGTGTGGACCATGAATATCAGGTACATTTTTAATATATTAAAAGTACATTACTTTTGTACTGAAGGTATATTATATAAAATAATGTACCCTTAGTATATTAAAAAAGTACTTTAAAAAAATGTATCTTACGTACATAAATAATGTACCCTTAATATATTAAAAATGTACTTTTTATTTATAGTCCATACAATTGTGTGGACCATGGTCCATGCAATAATGATTGACTTTCTATGAATACAACGTACATTTTTAATATATTAAAATTACATTAATATTTTAATTTGATTCAAAACAATACTACTTTTACATTTATGAAAATCAAATATAAAATTTAATAGAGGAAACGTGCATGCAAATTAAAGGTACCAACCATTTGCTGACTTCCACAGCAAACGAATAATGGAAAATTTTAAACAAGAAAAAAGGAAAACCTTTTTGAAAAGATAATTGAATTGGAAGATTACAATTAATTAAATTAATATTAAAAAAATAAAAATTCTATCCACTCGTCTATAATATGCCTCTATCATATAGCACCTCTCTACTTTGAAGTGTCTTTCATTTCTTGCATCATAAAGGAAAGCAAGAAAAGAGGGACAAATTGATAAGTTTTCCATTTCAATTATTATTTGGAATAAGGTTCAAATTGGCCACTGAACGTAAGCTGAAAATGCAATTAGGCCACTGAACAAAAAAAAAGTGCAATTAGACCACTGAACACTCCAAAAATGTGCAATTTCGCCTGATAGTAGGTTACCATCAATTTTAGCAGGTTATCTGCTTACGTGGCAGCTGAGTTGGCATTTTTAATAAATTTTAATTAATTTTTAATAAATTTTAATAATAAATTTTTATTAAAAAAATTTTTAAAAAATAAAAACGAATTTATTTTATTTTTTATTTAATTTTTTCCAATTTTTTTATAAAATTTATTATTAAAATTAATTATTAAAAATTATTTAAAAATTATTAAAAATGCCAACTAAGCTGCCACATAAGCAGATAACCTGCTAAAATTGATGGTAACATGCTATCCGGTAAAATTGCATACGTTTGGAGAGTTCAGTGGCCTAATTGCACATTTTTTGAGTGTTCAATGGCCTAATTGCACTTTTTTTTCGTTCAATGACCTAATTGCATTTTCAGGTTACGTTCAGTGGCCAATTTGAACCTTATTCCTTATTATTTTAAATATATAAGTTTTGGTTGAAATTTTAGCCCTTTAGTCAATCGTAAAAGCCCAATTCTAAAAGTAGGAAGGCTAGTACAATGGGAATGTGATAATCTCATCTATTTCCTTTTGTTCAAATAATTAAAAAGATATAGATAGGGACTTAATAGTTAAGAATAGTTGATAAGTGAAATGTTAATTTAGTTGTAAGGTTGGAGGATTGATTTTTGTAGGTGTGTGTCATGTTAAAGATCAGAGCTTTGAGTCGGATATTCTTCCTAATAAAGAAATAAAAAAAGAAAACCCGAATAGTTTAACAATTGCGAGGTTATTGAATGCTATATTTAAAAAAAAATAAATAAAAAAATAAATAAATAATAATAATAATAATAATAATAATAAAAGAGTGCATACATACACTGCACCAAATCTGCACAAGAAGTTACAATTAATAAAAGATTGTGCACCTATATAATAACTCACAGTGTAATAGATTTGATTGAGAAAGTGTTGACAAGAATCGAACTCGTCCTCTTCTAATATTTCCTTTTTGACCAAATAATTGAAAAGGGGAAGGATATGGTGGTATTTGAAAACCTAATGTACACAACTAACAAGAATTGTGGACTGAGAAAAGGAATCCTCTTTATTAGTCTTTTCTTAATATGGTCCTCCAATATAATCACCGTTTTTTTTTTTTTTTTTTGATGAACACTCCACACCCTCTTCAATGCTTATCACATGCATGCATGATTGATGCTATTATTATCTCTATATGGTCAAATCTTAGTAGATGATGACGTGGGTTGCCACTTGGCATTATATTGCCACCACAACTTGATGCAAGATGGATATCTATGTACTTTGTGTACACCTGAAAATACTATAAATTTCAGATTTTGATTTATTTTATTTTTAGTTTTCGATATAAAAACAAATATTCTATTTTTTGTCCACAATGTTCTTAAATGCAAGAGGGCAGGGGTGCAGCTCTGATTCTCCTTCTCATCTACTTCTTCATAGTCATCATGTCTGAAGAGCTTCATTTGCAGGTTAATGTTACAAGACAATGAGAACGTGAACAAATTATTAAAGGTTTAATTTATATGTATATTCAACTAAGAACGCACAAGTACAAACATAATACATGCATGTAGACCATGTACCACAACAACTCTAACAGCCCGTGCAAGTGGAACATAAACTCTAGTGTTATTTCTTGTAGTCTTCATCCTGTTCATAATATAAGAAATTGGTCGGACCATGACAACAAGAGAAAGTGACAAATTTATGCATGTTGTGGTTACATTGAGGGCAGGACACAGTGTCTGGAATTTTATCCAAATTAGATGGGTAATTGAGAGCACAACAAGAGTGTTGATTGGAAGAAGAAGAAGAAGAAGTATTAAGCATCTCATAGTAATCCTTGAATGCTTGTTCAAAATCATTGGCATGTGCATTGTTCTTCCATTTCTCATACTCATTCAACACTCCTAACATTTTGTCTCCCATATCACATCCAATTATTCTTTTCCCTTTGCCCAACAAAGCCCATGATCCAATTGCTGTACATTCATCTTCATAAGATAATAATTTCACGAGTCCTTGCAAAATTTCATCACTCCTTTCATCAAGTCCAACCTTACTCAAATATTGAATCCTAGATGAGGCCACACTATGAAGTCGTGCCCAAAAGATCTTAAACTCATAATGTTTAAATGCGTAATCACATACTCTACTCACCTCTTCAATCATTTTTCTTCTTCTTCCAACATATGCAATTTTCATATACATTTGAGATTTGGAACGAACTTTTTGTACAAATTCTAAAACCCGTGTAATATTATTGCCTCCACATAAGAAAATGTAGTTTTCATCATCATTAATCTGTTCAAAAGAAAAATACATAGAACAATATAAAAATGTTTATTTCATATACATTTAAAATCGCTAGGCATGTAGTTAATTGCCCCTAATTAAGGAAAATACTATATACTTCCAATTTTTACTCCACATACAAATTTAGACATTTATATTGGAATCCACATGAAAGAAATAATTAATCAGAACCTACTACATTAAGAAGTAAAATTGAGAGAATAAAATTTGAGAATACATGTAGTACAATTCCACTAATTAATTAGAATCGAAAATGAGGATTCATTACTTACCCACTCGTTTAACCGCTCATTGAATATAGTGCGGTAAATCAATCCTACTAGAAGCTTAAGATTCCAAGATTCTTTAAGCCAAAGATCTTGTTCCCTCTCACGCGTGTAATTGTATGAACGAAACTGATGAAAGTGATGAATATATAAAATATTATTGTATTTGTATAAAATAGTTGAGTTCTAAAATTATAAACCTTTCAGTGAATATAATAAGTGAGTAAGAGTTTAATTATATGAGAGACTTACTGAACTTTTCATCTTTGTCTCGATGTCGCTCATCCAATCATTGATCTTTATGCGGACTTCTGTCGCAAAATTATGTATTTGTTCGTTGATGTCATCAATTACACGATCAGCACCAGAAGTCCTTTCTATCAACTCATTTTCTAATGAAGGGATTATATCACCTGATCTCATTGTTCTCCTTTCAGAAAGTTGATATCCCCATGTGAATATCATGTAAAGTGCATTAGAATGAACCAATCTTCCCCGTTTGTCCAGTGAAATGATAATAGGGTCACCCCCAACTTGAAAAGTTGAGAAGCACTTATCTTTAAGAAATCTTACAAATTCTGGTGCAATCCATTTTTGTGGATCCAACACACGATAATAAGAGTATAAATGATCAGGCATTTGTATATGCTCATCCAGATCATTTATAATTGGAACCCAAATCACCTTTACTCCTTTGGTCGCTGCTAGATATGCATAGTAGGGGAAGTGTTTGCCGGATGATATTAGCAATAGCACTCCCTCCCCTTCAAACTCATCTAATCCCATTGAACGCTGTAAATATATAAAAGATATTTGGAGGTCATAAAATTAGATGTAGTATTCCACATATATGATAAGATAAGTAAGAACAAATACTTATACGTACCCACACATACCGCCAACTTCTCAAAATTGACTTCTCTTTATAATTTTTGACATTGAATATCAATTTAAGAACTTCTAAGATATTTGAAGAATTATCAAACGCATGTAACAACGCATGATAATTTTCTTCTGCCCTTTTTGCCTCTGCATACACAAAACTATAATTAATCTCATTGCTAAATTATGATTTTTGGTAAAATCTATTTAATCAAAGTTGTCTAATTTTGGATTTAATTAATCATTTTAATTAGAAAAATTAAGGATTATTTGTTTGCATAACAAAGTTTAACTTTCACAGTCATTTTTAATAACTTCATGTGCACTAGAAATTATATGATATTCATAATTATACATGAATTATAATCATAAACATTTCGTAACTAAATATTAAAATAAAATATTAAGCCAACCTAGTAGTGGAAGGCTTGAAGCCAGAATCTCTTTGATTTTGGTGGATACATTGGACAGTTCTCTCATGATCTGATTTTGTGGCCTGAAGAACAAGAGCATGGCTAATAATTAAGTAAAAAAGAAACATCAATAAATCAATCTTCACTATACTTATTTACGAATATTTAATTAAACCCAATTTACACGTGTTGTTGTGCAATGTAAAGTAATGCTTTGAAATATTAATTTTCAACTTTATATTGTATTAATGATTTATAGATATTTATATGAGATATTACAACTAATTATTTATAATGATTATTGAAAAATTTGATTAAGGCAGAATATATGTAATTTAATTTATACAAAGTTAAATCAAGTGGTCTTACTCGAGGCCCAAGATAAGGAGGTGAGCGTAGGCAACAACACTTCTTGCGATCCAATAGTTCGCCAGAAACATTGATGATGAATGTCGAAGCTCAACCATAAGCTCGGTGAGATTAAACATGGATCTTATTGAGTCATTAAAAAAAAATTCATTGTCAAGGGATAGCATTGAGTTTAGACTATTTCTTAGAGTAGCCATGTTGTTGTAGGATAATCCTTTCCGATGACATGATTGTGAGGCAACTTTAGATTTTCCACGGATGATCGCAAAACATGCGAGTAGCATTACTCCCTTAGCATGCCACATATACTTTGACAACAAACTTAGTAGATAAATGGCAGTTGAGTGACTATCATCATAGCTTACGCAAGTGAAGGATATCTAAAAATAAGAATAAAATTAAAAAGAAAAAAAGTCATCATTTAATTTGTACTCATATAAAATTGTGTGATGAATGGAGGATTTATATATATACCATACCACAAAAGAAAGTTGTAAAACAATAAATGAGATCTCTTTCTGGATGTGTTCTTGTAACTGTAACCTGTCTTGCATTCCTTCTTGAAGCACCTAAACTCATACTCCATTAACACAAAGCTAGTGTGATGAAAACAAGAATGGAACTATTTCTAAGCAGGAATAGTATAAACATTTAAGAAATCTCTCTTTCGTCTATGATTATTCAATGAAAATTTACTTGGTGACATTAATAATATATAACAGTATGGATTTGTATTATATATATATATATATATATATATATATATATATATATATATATATATGCTCAGCATTTAGGTGATTGTATGATAAAAATTCATTCACTATAGGTGCATATATATACAATGGTAACTAAATCTATATATTTGTCAAGAAAATAATTTTAAAGATAGTTTAATGCAAGAATATTGACAAACCGCATTGAAATTGAAAATGTCCTCCACAAACTTGAGAAGACAACTTGCATCAACATCTATGTCACCATTTGGATTATGTGTATCCTTAACTTGTTCTATGATGATATTTTCTTCAACATTATGAGCCATTTGTAGTTGTGAAATTGTTGTTCTTGATGGAAAGAGAGGCTGGATTGTCATAAGAAGAGGAGAATTGGCTTAATGAAAAGAGAAAAATTAAGGTTTAGTTAGATTGGTTCTAGTCATTATAACGTAGCTCTTATATAATATAGAGATTAAAAATCTTGTGGAAGAATTAATTAAGTATGCTTCACTGTAAGGAAAAGAACCAAAGAGCTTGTCTTCTTGCTTACAAAACACAAAAGTAAAATAGAATAACTAAACTCTTCATGATCATCATATATATAATACAAATTTTATTTTGTCTGGTGTACGTACCAATTTAATAGCTAAGCTTTTTGGAGGCTTGAACAACAAACAAAATTAAAAGAAGAAAAGAACAATGGTAAAAGAATTAAAGATGGAGGTACATATAGCTTTTATATATCTAAAGGAAAACTCAGTGATGAAGTAAAGCATTGTAATATTGATATTGATTTGTGGCTCAATCATTCAAACACTTTACATGAATTTTTCTACTTTCCCTCAACTCCACTCTTCTACATATCGTGTTCTTGATTTCTTGATAACTAATACAATACTATACTACATAACCAAAAGATCGAATACCTGAGTCTAGTGAAGATTTCATATTATACTCAAAAGAAGAGCAAATGATATGATGTTCATGTGCAAAATGATTATTTTGTCTGATCTGTTAAGAGTCCACATCTAAAAATAAAGGATGGCTCCCCTGTAAAATAAATTAGAGAATTGACAATAAATAGAATTCAACAACATACATGAATACTAATAGCGTGATCAAAATTAATATTTTAATTCGTTTCAAGAAAATACTACTTATACATTTATGAAAAAAAATATAGAAGTTAAAAGAGGAAACGTGCATGCAAATTAAAGTTAGTTGTTGAATCATATTGTATTCTATAAATAAAGTAAAACAAGACAAATTGCATGAACAAAAGGTATCAACCATTTGCTGACTTCCACAGCAAACGAATAATAATGGAAAATTTTAAACAAGAAAAAAATAAAACCTTTTTGAAAAGATAATTGAATTGGAAGATTACAATTAATTAAATTAATATTCAAAATAAAAATAAAAATAAAAATAAAACTTCTATCCTACTCGTGTATAATATGCTATCATATAGCACCTCTCTACTTTGAAGTTTCTTTGATTTCTTGCATCATAAAAGACAGCAAGAAAAGAGGGACAAATTGATAAGTTTTGCCCATTTCAAATATTATTTTAAATAAGTTTTGGTTGAAATCTTGGCCCTTAAGCCAATCGTAAAAACCCAATTCTAAAAGTACCACTATAAACAGTGTAAAGGAAGGCTAGTCCAATGGGAATGTGATACTCTCATCAATTTTCTTTTGATCAAATAATTAAAAAGATATAGATAGGGACTTAGATAAGCGAAATGTTAATTTAGCTGTAACATTGGAGGGTTGATTTTTGTAGGTGTGTCATGTTAAAGAGTCTTGAATCGGATATTTTTCCTAATAAAAAAAAAAAACCTGATTAGTTTCACAGTTGTGGGATTATTGGATGCTATGTTTAAAATAAAAAAAAAAAAAAACAAAACAAAAGAGTGCATACGTACACCAAATCTGCACAAGAAGTTACAATTAGTGAAGGACTGTGCATGCTTCTATATCTATATATATAATAACCCGCAATACAACAAATTTGATGGAGAAAGTGTTGGTAAAATCGAACTCACCAAAGTGTTGGTAAAATCGAACTCACCATCTTCTGATATAAGAATCATGCTTTATCTACTTGGCCACCCTTTTTGAATAATCCAAGGTTTAATCCAAGGGAAATGTGGTTTCATCAATTTCCTTTTGACCAAATAATTGAAAAGGGGAAGGATATGGTGGTATATGAAAAAATGTACACAACTAACAAGAATTGTGGAATGAGAAAAGGAACCCTCTTTAGTCTTTTTTTAATATATATATGGTCTTCCAATATAATCACTGGTTTTTTTTTTTTTTTTTTTTTTTTTTTTTTTTTTTTTTGGGTGAACACTCCACACTCTCTTCAATGCTTATCCCATGCATGATTGGTGCTATTATTATCTCTGTATGGTCAAATCTTAGTAGATGATGACGTGGGTTGCCACTTGGCATTATATTGCCACCACATGAAATCAAATGCAAGGTGGATATCTATTCCCTTTGTGTATAGGAAACATTATATGTTAGGAATAAGTGTATTTAGATTTTGATGATACCAAACTAACTAGGAATGTAGCCCCTCTCACTTTTACTCTCGTTATTTTGCATCTTTCGTGTTAGACGAAAATAGTCACAACTCACCATGTGATTCGTGCTTAATTAGTAGCACATTTACACGAATTAGAGTTGTATGTAGTAAATTAGGTCAACTTGAAGAAGAGAAGTTCAAGAGAAGGCCGAGAGAACAACTAAGACCAAAAGATGGAAGGGTCTAACTCTCGTGTAAACAACAAATGATAAGGAAATCATTTGACTTGAAGAGAAAAACGAAAGATAAGGACAATCTTTCGATAAGTGATCTTGAGACTAAAAGTCTAAGTCAAACTTGAATAGACAACTTCCACATTAAACATAGAAGAATATTTGTATATGTCTCACAGCTGGGCAATCATCCTAGACAAAAGGAGTCTTAGGAATGAAATTTTTAAATACCAAGAGCATTAAATGATTTGTACCTTTGTCAGTGCAAAAAGGACAAAAAGACAAGCCACTTTTTGTGCCAAAGGCTACACAGTATAGCCGCATTAAATGCTCTAAGCCCAGTGGATATTACACACTGGTTAATAGGTTTGAAATTTTCATCTCCCTCCAACGGATGGATTTTCCTCACCTCTAAATACCCCTCTTCACCATTGAAGAAGAGCTGATTTTTCACTCAATCTCTATCTACAAAAGCTTTGTTAACAAGTATCATCCAAAAGCTTTCAAAACCAGTGTGTTGTTGTGAAGTTTTTCAAAGAAATCATCTAGACTTCAAGCTTTCACAACACAAGGAAATCTTACAACTTTTATTTGAAGATTCAAGCTTCATCAAGTCAAGATTTCATAAGTTGGAGAACATAATCAATTCTTTCCAATTCTCAACTCTGAAGAAGACGTTGATAGAGGCGGAGTAAACTCTAGGAGTTGAAAAACCTACACAAGTAACTGTCCGGCTTAGTGATCAAGGAAGCTAGCTTGTTTAGTTTGTACTAGGAGTGATAGTGCAAACCCTTTCACAAGTTGTGAAAGAAGAGTGGAGTAGGTGATGTTATCACATCTTTGCTTGTTTTTATAGTTATTTTGAATCATCTCCGTATTTAAGTTCTTTAATTTTGATTATTTAATACACATTTTCCTTGCTATTATCATTTAATTATGGTTCACACTGGTTTTGAATGTTTTACGGTGTTTGTTAGTGTTTTTGAACCATTTTAGGTCAAAGATATGAGCAAGGGAAGTTCAAGGATGAGTTTTGAGCAATTTTGGACAAGTTCGGGGCCCAGAGGACTCGACGCGTTGAGCCAAAGGCTTGACGCGTCGAAAATTTCCAGTAGCATCAGAAGTCGAGACCAGCAGGTCTCGACGCGTGGAGAATTGGCTCGACGCGTCGGGCGCAGCAGGTCTCGACGCGTGGAGAATTGGCTCGACGCGTCGGGCGCAGCACGAAGTCGCGAGATATTTGAGTCCAATTTGAGTCCAATTTTGTACCAGATTCCTATTTCGTCTCAACTTTATACCTACTATAAAATCCCTCCTTCCTCAACCCTAAAAAACAGACCGGGGAGAGATTTTTAGAGTTCTTTGTAGACAAGAGAGAGAGAGATCAAGAGGCTCAAGTCGTCTTTGGAAGCAAGGAGGAAGCCAGGGAGATTTGGGAGAATCGCTTGGTTAATTCTTGTACTCTTCTGATGATTTGTAATCATTTATTCATATTTGCTATGTATAATTTAGCCATGCTCGGCTAAATTCCTTAGGGATTTTTGGGTGAATTTGTTTATGAACCTATGTGCCTAGTTCGTTAATTTCTTAATATATTTATGTTTGGTTTTATGATTTGTGTTGCAATCTTGTTTTAATCTGTTGTTGTTGGTGGTTAAAGGCCTAAATTACTAGCTTCACAGTCATGTTTGTGTCACCAATGGGAGTTGGGGCATAAATTAGGGCACACACGATTGCACCTAATGGTTGGTCCTTGGGAAAGGGGAACTTATTAGGGGAAGTTTATTCTAGATTATTGCTCATCGGGAGATGGTAGTAATTAGGAATAATTGAATGCTGATCTTTGATCTTATTGGGTGTTTAAGCCATGGGAGTGGAAATTCACTAGGAATAGAGATTACGGGAGTAATTCGATTCCACTTTGCATTCCCATACAAATCTTAATTCCAAACCAAATATTACAAACGTTAATTGGCACTAGGTGATTAAACATTGTGATCCCAAGAATCCTATCTTGCTCTATTGTCTACAAAACCTTGTTACTTATTTTATTCTGCTTATTATTTTATGCAATCAATCAACCTTCAAGTTTTGTTCGGATTAGTTTCATATGAGTAACCTAGTAGCTAGTGATTAGTACACCACCTCTCTGTGGTTCGACAACCCGAATACTCCGGGTATTATTTGTTTGCCCCAAATTACAGCAATCAGTAGGCTTCGTTAATAGCCGAACCACTATAAAAATATCTCTCTCACTTTCTCTTTACTTTCGTCTATCTATCTATCTGGCATATATTGCATTCATACAAATCAAACCCTAAGTTTTTCAATTCCATAACAAAAATCGTGCAAGGAACATATTAAAACAAATTCATATTTTTGCGTTGTGCATAATTTCTCGAGAGTTGTTTTTAAAAATTCGAGTAGAGTCTATTCACCCCCCTCCCCCCCCCCCCCCCCCCCTCCCCTCTAGACTCTCTTTCGACCCTATCCAGACCAACATTATAAATTTCAGATTTTGATTTTTTTTTTTAGAACAAAAACGAGAATGCATTAAGTAGAGTCAAAGCTCAAAGCAGGAACAATAGAGGGAAAAGGGACAGAAGAACCGTCCATACGGTCAGATATGGAAAAGGCTTTCCGAACTAACACATGGACAACCCTATTCGCGGACTGTTTAACAAACAAAAAGCATAAATTTGAAAAGTAAATGTTCTATTTTTTGTCCACAATGTTCTTAAACGCAAGAGGGCACGCATGGGTGCAACTCTGATTCTCCTCATCTGCTTCTTCATAGTCATGTCTGCAGAGCTTCATTTGTAGGCTAATGTTACAGGACAATGAGAACGTGAACAAATTAATAAATTAAAGGTTTAATTTGTATGTAAATTCAACTAAGAACATACAAGTACAAACATAATACATGCATGTGTAACACAAACTCTAGTATTGTTATTCCATGAAGTCATCATCATGGTCATAATATAAATCCTTGGTCGGACAATGACAACAGGAGAAAGTGACAAATTTATGCATGTTCCGGTTACATTGAAGGCAAGACCCAACCTCTGAAATTTTATCCAAATTAGATGAGTAATTGAGAGCACAACAAGGTTGTTGATGAGAAGAAGAAGAACTATTAATCATCTCATAGCTATCCTTGAATGCTTGTTCAAAATCTTTGGCATTCTCCCATTTCTCACACTCATTCAACACTCCTAACATTTTGTCTCCCATATCACATGCAATTATTTTTTTCCCTTTGCTCAACAAAGCCCATGATCCAACTGTTGTGAATTCATCTTCATAAAATAATAATTTTATGAGCCCTTGTAGAATTTCATCACTTCTTTCATCAATTCCAACATTACTCAAATATTGGATCCTAGATAAGACCATGCTATAAATTCGTGCCCAAAAGTACTTGAACTCACAAAAGTTCTTAAATGCATAAACCCATGCCCTATTCACATCTTCAATCATTTTTCTTCTTCTTCTTCCAACATATGTAATTTTCATATCCATTTGGAATTTGGAGCGAACTTCTTGCACCTTAAGTATGAATTCTTGAACTCGTTTAATATTATTGCCTCCGCATAAAAAAATATAATTTTCATCATCATCATCATCATCATCATCATCATCATCATCATCATCATCACCACCACCACCACCACCACCACCATCACCATCAATCTGTTCAAAAGAATATAATACATAGAACAATATAATGATCTATTAATGTTAATTGAATCGTTCATTTAAAATAAAAAATAAAGTAAAATAAATATTGAATAGGGAGTAGTAATTTTGTTTTAAGCATGAGGGGACATACAAGCTAAGATAATTGAATATAATTGTAGGTAGGCAGGCATGCAGTTAAGCTTAGCTTAGGTTGTACTTAATTGGCACTAATTAATTAGAATTGAAAATGAGGACTCATTACTTACCCACCAGTTTAGCGTGTCTTGGAATTTCCATTTGCGAGTCGTTCCTACTACAAGCTTAAGATTCCAAGATTCTTTAAGCCAAAGTTCTTGTTCTCTCTCACGCGTGTAATTGTATGAACGAAACTGTATTGATGAATATATAAAATATTATTTATAAAATGTTGAATTCTAAAATTATAAACTTTCTAGTGAAATTTTATTCTAAATAAATAAAAATAGATATGTACATATAATAAGCCAGTAAAAATTTAATTATAAGATAGACATACCGAATTTTTCATCTTTTTCTCGATGTCCTTCATCCAATCATTGATCTTTTTGCGGACATTTCTCGCAAAATTATATATTTGTTCGTCAATGTCATCTATCACATGCTCAGCACCAGAAGTCTTTTCCCTCAACTCATTTTCTAATGAAGGGATTATATCATCTGATCTCATTGTTCTCCTTTCAGAAAGTTGATATCCCCATGTGAATATCATGTGAAGTGCATTAGAATGAACCAATCTTCCCCGTTTGTCCAGTGAAATGACAATAGGGTCTTCCCCAACTTGAAAAGTTGAGAAGCACTTGTTTTTAAGAAATCTTACAAATTCTGGTGCAATCCATTTTTGTGAATCCAATACTCGATATAAGTTATTGTGGTACAAATCATCACTCATTTGTATATGCTCATCCAGATCATTTATAATTGGAACCCAAATCTTCTTTACTCCTCCCGTGCTCGCCGCATGATATGCATAATAGGGGAAGTGTTTGCCGGATGATATTAGCAATAGCACTCCCTCCCCTTCAAACTCATCTAATCCCATTGAACGCTGTAAATATTAAAGATATTTGGAGGTCATCAAATCAAGTGTAGTATTTCACATATATGAAAAAATAAGTAAGAACAAATTCTTATACATACATGTTCTCGCCAACTTTTTAGCTTTAAAATTGGCTTCTCTTTATTATTTTTGACATTGAATATCAATTTTAAAACGTCCAAGATATTTGAAGAATTATCAAACGCATGTAACAACGCTTGATATTTATCTTCTGCCCTTTTTGCCTCTGCATACACAAAGCAATAATTAATCTCATTGCGAAATTATGATTATTTTTGATAAAATATATTTAATCAAAGTTGTAATTTTTTATTTAATTAATCATTTTAATTAGAAAAATTAAGGATTATTTGATTGCATAAAAAAGTTTTAAGTTTTACAGTCAATTTATAATAACTTCATATGCACCAGAAATTATATATGATATTCATAATTATACATGAATTATAATCATAAACATTTCGTAACTAAATATTAAAATAAAATATTAAGCCAACCTAGTAGTGGGAGGCTGGAAGCCAGAATCTCTTTGATTTTTGTGGATGCATTGGACAGTTCAGTCATGATCTGATTTTGTGTCCTGAAGGATAAGGGCATATATGGCTAATTAATTAATTAAAAACAAACATCAACGTATCAATCTTCACTATACTTATTTACGAATACTTAATTAAACCCAATTTACACGTGTTGTTGTGCAATGTAAAGGTACCCGGGTTGGACTTCTATTTGGAAGGTTGTAAGTTCGAGCCTCAGTAGACTGAGAAATTAAAGTATATGAACAGATACTACATTATAATAGAGCCAGTAGCATTCAAAAAAACTTTATATTGTATAAATAATAATTTATAGGTATTGTGAAAGATAGAAAAATTAGATTAAGGCAAAGATAGATTATATTGTATAAATAATAATTTATAGGTATTGTCAAAGATAGAAAAATTAGATTAAGGCAAAGATAGAATATATGTAATTTATGCAAATGTTAAATTAAACGGACTTACTCGATGTTCAAAATAAGGAGGTGAGCATAGGCAACAATACTTTTTGCAATCCAGTAATTTGCCAAAGACATTGATGATGAATATCGAAGCTCAATCATAATCTTGGTAAGATCAAACATGGATTTTATTGAGTCATTCAAAAAAATTTCATTCTCAGTGGATAGCATTGAGTTTACACTTTTACGTAGAGTAGTCATGTTGTAGGGCAATCCTTTCTGATGGCATGATTGTGAGACAACTTTCAATTTTCCTCGAATGATCGCAAAACATGCGAGTAACATTACTCCCTTAACATGCCACATATACTTTGACAACAAACTTAGTAGATAAATGGCAGTTGAGTGACTATCCTCATAGCTTACACAAGTGAAGGTTATCTAAAAATGAGAATGAAATTTAAAAGAAAAAAGTCATCATTTGTACTCATATAAAATTGTGTGATGAATGGAGGATTTATATATACCATACCACGAAAGAGAGTTGTAAAACAACAAGTGAAATTTCCTTCTGGATGTGTTCTTGTAACTGTAATCTGTCTTGCATTGCTTCTCGAGGAACCTAAACTCATACTCCATTAACACAAAGCTAGTGTGATGAAAACAAATTTGGAACTATTTCTGAGCAAGAATAGTAAGAACATTTATGAAATCTCTCATTGGTCTATGATTATTCAATGAAAATTTACTTTGTGACATTAATAATAACAGTATGAATTGAATTTGTATTATATATGCTCTGCATTTAGGTGATTGTATGATAAAAATTCATTCACTATAGGTGCATATATATACAATAGTAACTAAATCTATATATTTGTCAAGAAAATAATTTGTCCATTATTTTTTATGCTTCCAAAACACAAAATAAAATGTTTGAGCACTTTCTGGCAAGGCCTATTTAGTAAAATATCCCATAGAATACCTGATCTGAGGAAAGAATTGAAATATAATTTACCAACAAAGTTGGACAGTAGAAAAAGGAAGTAGTATGTAGTTTACCGTCTCAGATTTTCCATGTTCATCACTTCCTTCTTCCTCAGGATCATCTTCATCATTCTCTGAATCCTCATTAGAAGACTCATCTTCTTTTTCAGAATTATCTTCATCACTCTCTGAATCCTCTTCAGAAGACTCATCTTCTTTTTCAGAATTATCTTCATCACTCTCTGAATCCTCTTCAGAAGACTCATCTTCTTTTTCAGAATTATCTTCATCACTCTCCGAATCCTCTTCAGAAGACTCATCTTCTTTTTCAGAATTATCTTCATCACTCTTTGAATCCTAAACTCATACTCCATTAACACAAAGCATGCAAGTGTACTGATGAAATCAAGAATGAAACTATTTCTAAGAAAAATTGTAAGACCATTTACGAAATCTGATCTCTCTTTCAACTATGATTATTTAACATAAAATTACTTGGTGACATTGATAATAATAGTATGCATTTATATTATGTATATATACACATTGTATTTAGGTGATTGTATTATAAAAATTTATTCACTATAGGTGCATATATATACAATGCTAATAAAATATGTATATTTGTGAAGAACAAAATTTAAAAGTAGTTTAATGCAAGTATATTGACAAACCGTATTGATATTGAAAATGTCTTCCACAAACTTGAGAAGACAATTTGCATCGACATCTATGCCACCATTCGGATTATGTGTATCCTTAACTTGTTCTATGATGATCTTCTCTTCAACATCATTTATTTGTAATTGTGAAATCGTTGTTCTTGATTGAGAGAGGGGTTGAGTTGCCATGTCTTGTAGGTAAGATAAGAAGAGAAGAATTGGCTCTTTGAAAAGAGAATAATTAAAATTTACTTGGATTGGTTTGGTTCTGATCATGACAATGTAGCTCTTATATAATATGGAGAATAAAATCTTGTGGAAGAATTAATTGAATTTGCTTCACTGTAAGGAAAAGAACCAAATTAAAGAAGAATAAAATCATTTATTTCATTTTTGGATTATTATATGAGAAGCTTGTCTTCTTGCTTACAAAAACACAAAAGTAAATTAGAATAACTAACTAAGGAAGTATGAATAGTATTATTTTTTTGTTTTGAAAAATTTCCCATCCAGTCTCTTTCGTTACTTTACTTTTATTACTTATTCTTGAGAAACAATAAACAAACTTCTCATGATCATCATATATATAATACAAATTTTATTTTGTTTGGTCCACATACCAATTTATTAGCAAAGCTTTTTGGAGGCGTGAACAACAAACAAAATTAAAAGAAGAAAAGAGCAATGGTAAAATAATTAAAGATTGAGGTACATATAGCGGGCTTTATCCATTTATAAAGGAGAACTCAGTGATGAAGTAAAGCACTGTAATATTGATTTTGTATTGTGACTCAAATTAAACATACGAACATTTTACAAAAATTTTTATACTTTCTCTCAACTCCAATCTTCTATATATATATGGTGTTCTTGATTCTTGATAACTAATACACTAAGTACATACTACGAATAAAAATTAAAGTGCAACACATACTAGTTAAGCTAGCTAGCTAGTTGAACTTCATACATAGATTGTGAAAGGAAAAAGAATATGGAATGACTGATATCTTCAATTCTCCGTCTGGTATCAACACGATCGGAGGAACCACTTTATAGATTAACATCATGTTTAGTTTGTAAAATGACAATTTTTACAAGGTTTGACCCAAAATTCTTCAATAGTTCACACAGATGGGGCCATACACCCTGTACTTTCAATAGTACATAAAATAATATACTTTCAGTATTCAAATAATGTATTTTCAATCTATGAATACAATATACATTTTATATATATTAAAAGTACATTAACATTTTAATTCGCTTCAAAAGACAATACTATTACATTTATGAAAATCAAATATAATAAAAGTTTAAAAGAGGAAACGTGCATGGAAATTAAAGTTGTTGAATCATATTGTATTCTATAAATAAAGTAAAACAAGACAAACTGCATGAACTAAAGGTACCAACTATTTGCTGACTTCCACAGCAAACGAATAATGGAAAATTTTAAACAAGAAAAAAGGAAAACCTTTTTGAAAACATAATTGAATTGGAAGATTACAATTAATTAAATTAATATTAAAAAATAAAAATAAAAATTATCCTACTAGTGTATAATATGCCTCTATAATATCATATAGCACCTCTCTACTTTGAAGTTTCTTTCATTTAATTCTTGCATCATAAAGGAAAACAAGAAAAGAGGGACAAATTGATAAGTTTTGTCTATTTTAAATATTATTTTAAATAAGTTTTGGTTGAAATTTTGGCCCTTTAGACAATTGTAAAAGCCCAATTCTAAATGTACCAATATAAAGGAAGGATAGTCCAATAGGAATGTGATAATCTCATCAATTTCCTCTGGATCAAATAATTAAAAAGATATAGATAGGGACTTAGCAGTTAAGAATAATTGATAAGAAAAATGTTAATTTAGTTGCAAGGTTAGAGGATTGATTATTGTAGGGGTGTGTCATGTTAAAGAGTTTTGAGTCGAATATTTTCCCTAATAAAAAATAAAAATCCAATTTATTAGTTTCGCAGTGGGGGGGTGGGGGGGGGGGGGGGTATTGAATGCTATATTAAAAAAAGAGTTCATACATGCACCAAATCTGCACATGAAGACCATGCACCACAACAATTCTAACAGCCAGTGTAAGTGGAACATAAACTCTAGTATTATTTCTTGTAGTCTTCATTCTGTAGATAATAAAAATAATTGGTCGGCCCATGACAGCAAGAGAAAGTGACAAATTTATGCATGTTGTGGTTACATTGAGGGCAGGGCACAGCCTCTGGAATTTTATCCAAATTAGATGGGTGATTGAGAGCACAACAAGAGTGTTGATTGGAAGAAGAAGAAGAAGTATTAAGCATCTCATAGCAATCCTTGAATGCTTGTTCAAAATCATCGGCATGTGCATTGTTCTCCCATTTCTCATACTCATTCAAGACTTGTAACATTTTGTCTCCCATATCACATCCAATTATTCTTTTCCCTTTGCCCAACAAGGCCCATGATCCAATTGTTGTACATTCATCTCCATAAGATAATAATTTTCTAAGTCTTTGCAAAATTTCGTCACTTCTTTCATCAATTCCAGCCTTACTCAAATATTAGATCCTAGATGTGGTCACACTATGAAGTCGTGTCCAAAACCACTTAATATCATAAGGTTCAAATTCATAATCACATGCTCTACTCACCTCTTTAACCATTTTTCTTCCTCTTCTTCCAACGTATGCAATTTTCATATTTATTTGGAATTTGGAACGAACTTCTTGTACCTTAAGTACAAATTCTAGAACTCGTTTAATGTTATTGCCTCCGCACAAGAAAATGTACTTTTCATCATCATCATCAATCTGTTTAAAAGAAAAATACATATATAATGTTTTATTAATGCTTAATTGAATCGCTTATTTAAAATTAAGAAAAAATAAAATATTGAATACTGAGTAGGTAGTAATTTTGTTTTAAGCATGAGGGGACGTACAGGCTAAGATAATTGAATTGAAGTGTATAGTTTAGCTTAGCTTAGCTTGTAGTTAATTGCCACTAATTAATTAGAATTGAAAATGAGGACTTATTACTTACCCACGAGTTTAGCCTCTTTTGGAAATCCCATTTGCGAGTCGTTCCTACTACAAGCTTAAGATTCCAAGATTCTTTAAGCCAAAGCTCTTGTTCCCTCTCACGCGTGTAGTTGAATGAACGAAACTGATGAATATATAAAATATTATTGTATTTGTATAAAATGGTTAAATTCTAAAATTATAAATTTTTTATTGATTTTTTTTTATAAATAAATAAAGATAGACATATACATATAATAATTAAGAGTTTAATTATAAGATAGACATACCGAACTTTTCATCTTGATCTCGATGTTGTCAATCCAATCTTTGATCATTTTGCGGACCTCTCTCGCAAAATTATGAATTTGGTTGTCAATGTCACCAATCACACGGTCAGCACCAGAAGTCCTTTCCCTCAACTCATTTTCTAATGAAAGGATTGTACCACCTGATCTCATTGTTCTCCCTTCAGAAAGTTGATCTCCCCATGTGAATCTCATGTGAAGTGCATTAGAATGAACCAATCTTCCCCGTTTATCCAGTGAAATGACAATAGGGTCACCCCCAACTTGAAAAGTTGAGGAGCACTTGTCTTTAAGAAATCTTACAAATTCTGGTGCAATCCATTTTTGTGTATTCAATACACAAAAATAGTGGCACAAAACATGGTGCCTTTGTACTTGCTCATTCAGATCATTTATAATTGGAACCCAAATTATCTTTACTCCTCTGGGCTCATTATATGCATAATAGGGGAACTGTTTGCCGGATGATATTAGTAGTAGCACTCCCTCCCCTTCAAACTCTTCTAATCCCGTTGAATATGACCATCTCTAATATAAAAGATATTTGGAGGTCATCAAATTAGATAAATATAGTATTTCACCACACATACACATATATGACAAAAAAAAAAAAAAAAAAAAAAGTAAGAACAAATGCTTACACATACCGTGATAATACTTTTGTTCAAAATTGGCTTTTCATTACTATTTTTGACATTGAATATCAATTTAAGAACGTCCAAGATATTTGAAGAATTATCAAACGCATGTAACAATGCTTGATAATTTTGTTCAGTCCTTTTTGCCTCTGCATACACAAAACTATAATTAATCTCATTGCTAAATTATGATTTTTGGTAAAATCTATTTAATCAAAGTACTGTAATTTTGGATTTAATTAATCATTTTAATTAGAAAAATTAAGGATTATTTGTTTGCATAACAAAGTTTAACTTTTACAGTCAATTTATAATAACTTCATATGCACTAGAAATTATATGATATTCATAATTATACATGAATTATAATCATAAACATTTCATTTCGTAACTAAATATTAAAATGAAATATTAAGCCAACCTAGTAGTGGGAGGCTGGAATCCAGAATCTCTTTGATTTTGGTGGATACATTGGACAATTCCCTCATGATCTGATTTTGTGGCCTGAAGAATAAGAGCAAGGCTAATTAATTAATTAAAAGCAAACATCAATAAATCAATCTTCACTATACTTATTTACAAATAGTTAATTAAACCCAATTTACACGTTAAATTGTATTAATGATTTGTAAATATTATTTAATGAGATATTACAACTAATTATTTATAATGATTATTGAAAAATAGATTAAGGCAGAATATATTTAATTTAATTTAATTTTTTTTATTAGAAGGAAGGGGATACCCTACAAAGTTAATTTAATTTTTTTTATTAGAAGGAAGGTGATACCCTACAAAGTCAATTTAATATTTAATTTAATTTATACAAAGTTAAATCAAGTGGTCTTACTTGAGGCCCAAAATAAGGAGGTGAGCGTAGGCAACAATACTTCTTGCGATCCAGTAGTTCGCCAAAAACATTGATGATGAATGTCGAAGCTCAACCATGAGCTTGGTGAGATCAAACATGGACTTTATTGAGTCATTCAAAAAAATTTCATTCTCAATGGATAGCATTGAGTTTACACTTTTTCGTAGAGTAGTCATGTTATAGGAAAATCCTTTCTGATGGCATGATTGTGAGGCAACTTTAAATTTTCCTCGGATGATCGCAAAAGATGCGAGCAACATTACTCCCTTAGCATGCCACATATACTTTGACAACAAACTTAGTAGATAAATGGCAATTGAGTGACTATCATCATAGCTTACACAAGTGAAGGCTATCTAAAAAATGATAATGAAATTTAACAAAAAGAAGTCATCATTTGAACTCATATAAAATTGTGTGATGAATGGAGGATTTATATATATCATATCACGAAAGAGAGTTGCAAAACAACAAATGAAATCTCCTTCTGGATGTGCTCTTGTAATTGTAACTTGTCTTGCATTGCTTCTCGGTGAACCTAAACTCATACTCCATTAACACAAAGCTAGTGTGATGAAAACAAAAATGGAACTATTTCTAAGCAGGAATAGTAAGAACATTTAAGAAATCTCTCATTGGTCTATGATTATTTAGATATATATAATTGTATGATAAAAATCATTCACTATAGGTGCATATATATACAATGGTAACTAAATCTATATAATTGTCAATAAAATAATTTTAAAAATTGTTTAATGTAAGTAATATTGTCAAACCGTATTGAAATTGAAAATGTCCTCCACAAATTTGAGAAGACAATTTGCATCAACATCTATGCCACCATTCGGATTATGCGTATCCTTAACTTGTTCTATGATGATCTTCTTTTCAACATGAGTCATTTGTAGTTGTGAAATTGTTGTTCTTGACGGAGAGAGAGGATGAGTTGTCATGTCTTGTAGGTAAGATAAGAAGAGAAGAATTGGCTCTTTAAAAAAAGAATAATCAATGTTTAGTTAGATTGGTTCCGGTCATAACAATGTAGCTCTTATATAATATAAAAATTAAAAATCTTGTGGAAGAATTAATTGAGCTTGCTTCACTGTAAGGAAAAGAACCAAAGAGGAATGTAATCTTTTATTTCATTATTGAATTATTATATGAGAAGTTTGTCTTCTTGCTTACAAAACACAAAAGTAAAATAGAATAACTAAGGTAGTTAAGAATAGTATTACTTTTTGTTTTGAAATTTTTCCCGTCTCTTTCCTTCCCTTACTTTTATTACTTATTCTTGAGAAATAAAAAACAAACTCCTCATGATCATCATATATATATCATACAAATTTTATTTGATTAAATACCGGCGGAGGTCTTCCGACTTTGGTGGCACTGTCACTTTTAGTCCTCAACTTTTAAATCAACCACTTTTAGTTCTCGTAGTTTTTGTTTCTAGCCATCTATGGTCCTTTCGTTAAACTTGACCATCTAATGCCGTTTTCTAAAAGATAATTCAGTCCTTTCATAATTAATTTATTAATTATTATGTTTAATTTCCTCAACAGAATAGTCAAACAATGGTTTCCCCAGCTATGAACGTGTACAAAACCAGCTCGTAGATCAAAATGGCGTACAAAAGCTGGTACGAAGGTTGTGCCAAAACGACGTCAGGATATCTCGGTATGACTCGGCAAACATAATAATTAATAAATTAATTATGAAAGGACTGAATTATCCTTGAGAAAACGGAATTAGATGGTCAAGTTTAACAGAAGGACCGTAGATGGCTAGAAACAAAAAGTAAGAGGACTAAAAGCGGTTGATTTAAAAGTTGAGGACTAAAAGTGGCAGTGCCACCAAAGTCAGAGGACCTCCGCTGGTATTTACTCAATTTTATTTTGTCTGGTCTACATACCAATTAACAGCTAAGCTCTTTGGAGGCTTGAACAATAAACAAAATTAAAAGAAGAAAAGAGCAGAATTGAAGATGGAGCTGAGGTAGATATAGATTTATGTATCTAAAGGAGAACTCAGTGATGAAGTAAAGCATTGTAATATTAATTTTGTGGCCCAAACACTTTACATGAATTTTTATACTCTCCCTCAACTCCACTCTTCTATATATCATGTTCTTGATTCTTGATTTCTTGATAACTAATTAATACACTAGTACTACAAATAAAAATTAAAGTGCAATACATACAGATTCAGCTGCACTAGTTGAACTTCATACCTAGCTCTCACATGAATGGATTGTGAAAGGGAAAATTAAAGCATGGAATCAACAGAATAGTATGGTATCAACAGAATTGATTGTATATGTAAATCAAAAACAGAAACAAAATAACTGCAAAGTATATTAATGTGCTCACCAGAATTTTCATGTAATCCAGAATTATATACCGTAGAGAAATGATATGATGAACCAAAGCATAGCTTCAATGCACGAATTCTACTAATTGCTTCAATTATTTGCTCATCACAACATTTCTCTAACAATGAAGTAAATTCTTCAAAGCTCTTTGGTGCTTCAATAGTATAAGGAAGTTCAAATTGTTGAGCTGAATGCTGCTTCAAAGGTGATTGACATTTTTCAGTATCTATTTTATCTTTTTCCTTCCTCTCAAGTTAGATTTTTTTTTCAACCTTTGACTCTTTGATTACACCCTCATCAAAATCATCTTCACTGTCCTCTAAATCGGTGCCAACTAACATTCTCATCATCACTCTCTTCCCAGTCTTTTACCGTCTGAGACTTTTTAGTTTTAATTTATTTGTATATACTTACATATGGTGACCAATGAACCAATTTATACTAAAACCATCTTGAAAAATTGAATTATGTCTCGGAACTTAAGTAATCACAAGATTTCAAATTTAACTCATCTTAAGAGTTGTTGATTGACTTTCTTGATTTGAGTTGGTCAGTTAGGTAACATAGATTGGTTTACTTGTAGTATTTTATCTGTTAGAATCACAAGGCAAACTTTATTCTATTAACACCTTTATGGGTGTAAATATTTCTGAAAATCAAAGATCTTGGAACCAGGGGTGTAGACCAAGCCTTTTCTTAGAGAAGGGTCGCATAGAAGTTTGGAACTATAGTTATCGGCCACCTTGAACCTACATGGACCAAGCTCTGATTCTCCTTCTCAGCGATCTCAGGCTGATGATACAGATTTAATACACTTTTAGGGTGTGTTTGGTTCGCACATAGGAATCGGAATCGGAATGGGTATCAAATACTTGGTAATGGAAATGGGTTTTGGTGAAAGTATTTAACATGTTTGGTAGTAGGGTGGAATGAGAATGGTTACTAATAGTAGTGCTTGAGAATGAATAAGGGAATGAAACACTTATTTTATTTGAGTATGGGTTTTTCAATTGATGGGGTATTCGAAACCCATAGTAGTGTTCTAAAAACCTATCAACCAAACAACAACAATCACTTTCATACCCATTCCTATGGGCAAAACCCACCAACCAAACACACCCTTAATTCTACTATTCTTGTAATTGGGACATTGAAAACGTGAACAAATTAAAGGTTTAATTTGTATGTATATTCAATGAATAATATTACAACCATGAAGGCATGAACGTACAAGTACAAACATATTATACATGCATTGCATGTAGACTACTACAACAACTCTTACACCCCGTGCATTCCTAATCTTCATCCTCTTTATAATATAAGAAATTGGTCGGACCATGACAACAAGAGAAAGTGACAAATTTATGCATGTTGTGGTTACATTGAGGGCAGGACACAGTCTCTGAAATTTCATCCAAATTAGATGAGTGATTGAGAGCACAACAAGAATGTTGATTGGAAGAAGAAGAAGAAGTATTAAGCATCTCATAGTAATCCTTGAATGCTTGTTCAAAATCATTGGCATTCTCCCATTTCTCATACTCATTCAACACTCCTAATATTTTGTCTCCCATATCACATCCAATTATTCTTTTCCCTTTGCCCAACAAAGCCCATGATCCAATTGTTGTACATTCATCTCCATAAGATAATAATTTTATGAGTCCTTGCAGAATTTCATCATTCCTTTCATCAAGTCCAACCTTACTCAAATATTGGATCCTAGATAATGTCACACTATGAAGTCGTGCCCAAAAAAACTTAAACGCATAACGTCCAAACACATAATCACATGCTCTCCTCATCTCTGCAATCATTTTTCTTCTTCTTCCAACGTATGCAATATTCATATTCATTTGAAATTTGGAACGAACTTCTTGTACCTTAAGTACAAATTCTAGAACTCGTTTAATGTTATTGCCTCCGCACAAGAAAATGTACATTTCATCATCATCAATCTGTTCACAAGAAAAATACATAAAACAATATAATGTTTTAATTATTGTTTAATTGAATCGTTTATTTAAAATAAAAATTTAAAAAATAAATATTGAATAGGGAGTAATAATTTTGTTTTAAGCATGAGGGGACGTAGAAGCTAAGATAATTGAATATAATTGTAGGTAGGCAGGCATGCAGTTTAGCTTAGCATAGCTTGTAGTTAATTAATTAGAATTGAAAATGAGGACTCATTACTTACCCACCAGTTTGTACTCATTCTCGTTTCTACTACAAGCTTAAGATTCTATGATTCTTTAAGCCAAAGCTCTTGTTCCCTCTCACGAGTGTATTTGTATGAACGAAACTGATGAATATATAAAATATTATTGTATTTGTATAAAATGGTTGAATTTCATAATTATAAACTTTTTAGTGAAATTTTTTTCTAAATAAATAAAGACAGACATGTACATATAATAAGTAAGAATTTAATTATAAGATAGACATACCGAACTTTTCATCTTTGTCTGGATGTCATTCATCCAATCATTGATCTTTTTGTAGACCTTTCTCGCAAAATTATGTATTTGTTGGTCAATATCATCAATCACACGGTCAGCACCAGAAGTCCTTTCTCTCAATTCATTTTCTAATGAAGGGATTATATAATCCGATCTCAATATTATCCTTTTAGAAATTTGATCTCCCCATGCAAATATCATGTGAAGTGCATTAGAATGAACCAACCTTCCCCGTTTGTCCAGTGAAATGACAATAGGGTCACCCCCAACTTGAAAAGTTGAGAAGCACTTGTCTTTAAGAAATCTGTCAAATTCTGGTGCAATCCATTTTTGTGGATCCAATACACAATAATAGTCAGAATTAGGCATTTGTATATGCCCATCCAGATCATTTATAATTGGAACCCAAATCTTTACTCCTCCCGTGTACGCCGCATTATATGCATAATAGGGGAAGTGTTCGCCGGATGATATTAGCAATAGCACTCCCTCCCCTTCAAACTCATCTAATCCCATTGAACGCTGTAAATATAAAATATAGATATTTGGAGGTCATCAAATCAAGTGCAGTATTCCACGTATATGATAAGGTAAGTAAGAACCAATGCTTATACGTACCTGCCAGGGGTCCAAAATTGGCTTATCTTTATTATTTTTGACATTGAATATCAATTTTAGAACGTCCAAGATATTTGAAGAATTATCAAACGCATGTAACAACACTTGATATTTATCTTCTGCCCTTTTTGCCTCTGCATACACAAAGCAATAATTAATCTCATTGCGAAATTATGATTATTTTTGTAAAATATATTTAATCAAAGTATTGTAATTTTTTATTTAATTAATCATTTTAATTAGAAAAATTAAGGATTATTTGATTGCATAAAAAAGTTTAAGTTTTACAGTCAATTTATAATAACTTCATATGCACTAGAAATTATATGATATTCATAATTATACATGAATTATAATCATAAACGTTTCGTAACTAAATATTAAAATAAAATATTAAGCCAACCTAGTAGTGGGAGGCTGGAAGCCAGAATCTCTTTGATTTTTGTGGATACATTAGACAGTTCAGTCATGATCTGATTTTGTGGCCTGAAGGATAAGAGCATATATGGCTAATTAATTAATTAATTAAAAACAAACATCAACAAATCAATCTTCACTATACTTATTTACGAATACTTAATTAAACCCAATTTACACGTGTTGTTGTGCAATGTAAAGTAATACTTTGAAATACTCAACTTTATATTGTATAAATTATAATTTATAAGCATTGTCAAAGATAGAAAAATTAGATTAAGGCAAAGATAGAATATATGTAATTTATGCAAATGTTAAATTAAACGGACTTACTCGATGTTCAAAATAAGGAGGTGAGCATAGGCAACAATACTTTTTGCAATCCAGTAATTTGCCAAAGACATTGATGATGAATATCGAAGCTCAATCATAATCTTGGTAAGATCAAACATGGATTTTATTGAGTCATTCAAAAAAAATTCATTCTCATTGGATAGCATTGAGTTTACACTTTTTCGTAGAGCAATCATGTTGTAGGGCAGTTCTGTGATGGCATGATTGTGAGGTAACTTTAAATTTTCCTCGGATGATTGCAAAACATGCAAGTAACATTACTCCCTTAACATGCCACATATACTTTGACAACAAACTTAGCAGATAAATTGCAGTTGAGTGACTATCATCATTACTTACACAAGTGGAGGTTACCTAAAAATGAGAATGAAATTTAAAAGGAAAAAGTCATCATTTATTTGTAGTCATATAAAATTGTGTTAATGGAGGATTTATATATACCATACCACGAAAGAGAGTTGTAAAACAACAAATGAAATTTCCTTCTGGATGTGTTCTTGTAACTGTAACCTGTCTTGCATTGCTTCTCGAGGAACCTAAACTCCATTAACACAAAGCTAGTGTGATGAAACAAAAATGGAACTATTTCTATGCAGGAATAGTAAGAACATTTAAGAAATCTCTCTTTGGTCTATGATTATTCAATGAAAATTTACTTGGTAACATTAATAATAACAGTATGGATTTGTATTATATATGCTCTGCATTTAGGTGATTGTATGATAAAAATTCATTCACTATAAGTGCGTATATATACAATGGTAACAAAATCTATATATTTGGCAATAAAATAATTTTAAAAATAGTTTAATGCAAGTATATTGACAAACCGCATTGAAATTGAAAATGTCTTCCACAAATTTGAGAAGACAATCTGCGTCGACATCTATGTCACCATTCGGATTATGTGTATTCTTAACTTGTTCTATGATAATATTCTCTTCAACATGAGTCATTTGTAATTGTGAAATCGTTGTTCTTGATAGAGAGAGAGGTTGAGTTTCCATGTCTTGTAGGTAAGATGAGAAGAGAATTGGCTCAATGAAGAGAGAAAAATTAAGGTTTACTTGGATTGGTTCTAGACATGACAACGTTTGTAGATCTTATATATAATATATAGAGATTAAATATCTTGTGAAAGAATTAATTGAATTTGCTTCACTGTAAGGAAAAGAACCAAAGAGGAATATAATCTTTTATTTCATTATTGGATTATTATATGAGAAGCTAGCTTGTCTTCTTGCTTACAAAAACACAAAAGTAAAATAGAATAACTAACTAAGGAAGTTAGGGATAGTATTATTTTTTTGTTTTGAAAAATTTCCCATGCCAGTCTCTTTCGTTACTTTACTTTTATTACTTATTCTTGAGAAATAAAAAACAAACTCCTCATGATCATCATATATATCAAACAAAATTAAAAGAAAAGAGCAGAATTGAAGATGAAGCTGACTGAGGTAGATATAGATTTATCTATCTAAAGGAGAACTCAGTGATGAAGTAAAGCATTATAATATTGATTTTGTGGCCCAAACATGCAAACACTTTACAAGAATTTTTATACTTTCCCTCAACTCCACTCTTGTATATATGGTGTGTTCTTGATTCTTGATTTCTTGATAACTAATACACTAGTACGTACTACGAATAAAATTTAAAGTGCAACACATACTAGTTAAGCTAGCTAGCTAGTTGAACTTCATACATAGATTGTGAAAGGAAAAAGAAGATGGAATGAGCGATATCTTCAATTCTCCTTCTGGTATCAACACGATCGGAGGAACCACTTTATCACGGCAAATTATGGAGTGCAAGGTGGACACGGTTCCAAAACTATTCATAATTATGAATATATAGTTCAAAAATTATGAATATATAGTTCTATAATTATGAACATAGACTTGTGAACATAATTATGAACATATAGTTTTGTAATTATGAATATAGAGATTCAATAATTGTGAATATGAAGTTCAAAAATTATGAATATATAGCTTTATAATTATGAACATATAGTTCAGTAGTAATTATAAACATAGACTACTGTAATTGTGAATATACAATTCAATAATTATGAATATAAAGTTTAAAAATTAAAGTTGTTCAATCATATTGTATTCTATAAATAAAGTAAAACAAGACAAACTGCATGAACTAAAGGTACCAACCATTTGCTGACTTCCACAGCAAACGAATAATGGAAAATTTTAAACAAGAAAAAAGGAAAACCTTTTTGAAAACATAATTGAATTGGAAGATTACAATTAATTAAATTAATATTAAAAATAAAAATAAAAATTATCCTACCAGGGTATAATATGCCTCTATCATATAGCACCTCTCTACTTTGAAGTTTCTTTCATTTAATTCTTGCATCATCAGGGACGGAGCCAGAAAATATGTTGAGGTGGGGCAAAGAAGTAAGGAAGGATTCAATGGCGGATTCAGAAAATTTTTTTAGTGAGGGAAAAAATTAAAATAAAAGAGAAAGTTTTAAAAAAATGAAATACTTAAAAAGTATAACAACAAATATTGTTGGATATAGCGAAAAATAAAACATATTAAAACTTTATAAAAATATTTATAACAAAATATATGAAACATAATTAATTTGATAAAACAATTCGAATATAAAACACATTATAAATTACGCATTCCATTACTAATATAAAGAAAGTTATAATGGAAGTTATATATATCATGTCAAAATTTAATTGTACATTCCATTATTAATATAAAGAAAGTTATAATCAAAGACTCGAACCCTAGCCATTCCAAAACTCATACACATTAGTTACCACCTTGTCTATCACAGCTTTTGTTTACATAATCTGTTTTATACTACTTATATGAATAATGTACTATATATACATATTATATACAATATAAGGTAGGGGTGGAGTGGGGTGATGGGGGGCAGCTGACCCCCCTGCCCCCCTCTGGCTCCGTCTATGTGCATCATAAAGGAAAACAAGGAAAGAGGGACAAATTGATAAGTTTTGTCTATTTTAAATAAGTTTTGGTTGAAATTTTGGCCCTTTACACAATTGTAAAAGCCCAATTCTAAAAGTACCACTATAAAGGAAGGCTAGCTAGTCCAATGGGAATGTGATAATCTCATCAATTTCCTTTGGATCAAATAATTAAAAAGATATAGATAAGACTTAGCAGTTAAGAATAATTGATAAGAAAAATGTTAATTTAGTTGCAAGGTTAGAGGACTGATTATTGTAGGGGTGAGTCATGTTAAAGAGCTTTGAGTCGAATATTTTCCCTAATAAAAAATGAAAATCCGATTTACTAGTTTCATGGCCACCGCTGGAAATTAGCGTTTTTCCGACCTCATTTCCGACCACCCAAAATTGGTCGCAAAAGTGACTTTTTTCCATTTTTCGACGAAGGGTTAGAGTGGTCGAAATTTCCGACCACCTTTGAAGAGTGGTAGGACATACCGACCACCAAGTAAAGGTGGTCGGATAGTGTTTTCCTTTTTAAATTTTTTTTTGTTATTTATTTTTTTTGAAAGCTTTTATTTTTGTTATTGTTGTGGTTTAATGGTATGAAGGCCACATGATATATCTTTTTATTATTGATTACTAGTATTTTCGCCGTGCGATGTTCGAAATTGATTTGTTGTAATATATTAAGAATATTTGAATCGATATATAATTATTTAAATTAGAACATCAAATATTATATAGTGCAATTAAAGATATATATGCTTAGGATCGTTTATGTGTTTTGATGTTATCATTGTTTGAATTTGAGCAAATAATTGTTAAAATTAATAGTTAGATCGATATATAGATGTACACATGCGGTGCTCTAACTTTAGAGATTTTATTTATTATTTCACATATTTGAATTACTTATTTTTTCTTTAATTATTCTCATTGTAAACATAAATGATATTGCAATAATTAATTTATGATATTTATCAAATTGTATCTTTTTAAAAATATAGATTTTCACATGTTTAGGAGTTAAAAAATATATTAAAATTATTTTTATTTTTAAAATATTTTCCAGCAACCGAAACACTCCCTTAGTCTCACATCAAAAACTGATAAAGAAAAGTATTTCATTAAGAAAATCAAAACTAATTAAAATAAATCTAATCATGCTATATTTATTTATAACTGTATATTGAATGCTATATTAAAAAAAAAAATAAAAAACAAAAAAACAAAAGAGTTCATACATGCACCAAATCTACACATGAAGTTATAATTAATGAAGGATTGTGTTCCTGTATAATAACTCGCAATGCAACAGATTTTATTTAGAATCTTCTGATACAAGAATCATGTTTTACTTACATGGTCATCACTTTCTGAATAGGGGGAGAGGGGGGGGGGGGGGGGTATTGAGAACGTAAACAAATTATTAAAGGTTTAATTTGTATGTATATTCAACTAAGAAAGTACAAGTACAAACATAATACATGCATGAAGACCATGCACCACAACAACTCCAACAGCCAGTGCAAGTGGAACATAAACTCTAGTATTATTTCTTGTAGTCTTCATTCTGTAGATAATAAAAATAATTGGTCGGCCCATGACAGCAAGAGAAAGTGACAAATTTATGCATGTTGTGGTTACATTAAGGGCAGGGCACAGCCTCTGGAATTTTATCCAAATTAGATGGGTGATTGAGAGCACAACAAGAGTGTTGATTGGAAGAAGAAGAAGAAGTATTAAGCATCTCATAGCAATCCTTGAATGCTTGTTCAAAATCATCGGCATGTGCATTGTTCTCCCATTTCTCATACTCATTCAAGACTTGTAACATTTTGTCTCCCATATCACATCCAATTATTCTTTTCCCTTTGCCCAACAAGGCCCATGATCCAATTGTTGTACATTCATCTCCATAAGATAATAATTTTCTAAGTCTTTGCAAAATTTCGTCACTTCTTTCATCAATTCCAGCCTTACTCAAATATTGGATCCTAGATGAGGTCACACTATGAAGTCGTGTCCAAAACCACTTAATATCATAAGGTTCAAATTCATAATCACATGCTTTACTCACCTCTTTAACCATTTTTCTTCCTCTTCTTCCAACGTATGCAATTTTCATATTTATTTGGAATTTGGAACGAACTTCTTGTACCTTAAGTACAAATTCTAGAACTCGTTTAATGTTATTGCCTCCGCACAAGAAAATGTACTTTTCATCATCATCAATCTGTTCAAAAGAAAAATACATATATAGGATAATATAATGTTTTATTAATGCTTAATTGAATCGTTTATTTAAAATTAAGAAAAAATAAATATTGAATACTGAGTAGTAATTTTGTTTTAAGCATGAGGGGACGTACAAGCTAAGATAATTGAATTGTAGTGTATAGTTTAGTTTAGCTTAATTAGCTTGTAGTTAATTGCCACTAATTAATTAGAATTGAAAATGAGGACTTATTACTTACCCACGAGTTTAGCCTCTTTTGGAAATCCCATTTGTGAGTCGCTCCTACTACAAGCTTAAGATTCCAAGATTCTTTAAGCCAAAGCTCTTGTTCCCTCTCACGCGTGTAGTTGAATGAACGAAACTGATGAATATATAAAATATTATTGTATTTGTATAAAATGTTTAAATTCTAAAATTATAAATTTTTTATTGATTTTTTTCTAAATAAATAAAGATAGACATATGCATATAATAAGTAAGAGTTTAATTATAAGATAGACATACCGAACTTTTCATCTTGATCTCGATGTCGTCAATCCAATCTTTGATCATTTTGCGGACCTCTCTCGCAAAATTATGAATTTGGTTGTCAATGTCACCAATCACACGGTCAGCACCAGAAGTCCTTTCCCTCAACTCATTTTCTAATGAAAGGATTGTACCACCTGATCTCATTGTTCTCCATTCAGAAAGTTGATCTCCCCATGTGAATCTCATGTGTAGTGCATTAGAATGAACCAATCTTCCCCGTTTATCGAGTGAAATGACAATAGGGTCTCCCCCAACTTGAAAAGTTGAGGAGCACTTGCTTTAAGAAATCTTATAAATTCTGGTGCAATCCATTTTTGTGTATTCAATACACAAAAATAGTGGCACAAAACATGATGCCTTTGTACTTGCTCATTCAGATCATTTATAATTGGAACCCAAATTATCTTTACTCCTCTGGGCTCATTATATGCATAATAGGGGAACTGTTTGCCGGATGATATTAGTAGTAGCACTCCCTCCCCTTCAAACTCATCTAATCCCGTTGAATATGACCATCTCTAATATAAAAGATATTTGGAGGTCATCAAATTAGATAAATATAGTATTTCACCACACATACACATATATGACCAAAAAAAAAAAAAAAGTAAGAACAAATGCTTACACATACCGTGATAATACTTTTGTTCAAAATTGGCTTTTCATTACTATTTTTGACATTGAATATCAATTTAAGAACGTCCAAGATATTTGAAGAATTATCAAACGCATGTAACAATGCTTGATAATTTTGTTCAGTCCTTTTTGCCTCTGCATACACAAAACTATAATTAATCTCATTGCTAAATTATGATTTTTGGTAAAATCTATTTAATCAAAGTACTGTAATTTTGGATTTAATTAATCATTTTAATTAAACAAATTAAGGATTATTTGTTTGCATAACAAAGTCTAACTTTTACTGTCAATTTATAATAACTTCATATGCACTAGAAATTATATGATATTCATAATTATACATGAATTATAATCATAAACATTTCATTTCGTAACTAAATATTAAAATGAAATATTAAGCCAACCTAGTAGTGGGAGGCTGGAATCCAGAATCTCTTTGATTTTGGTGGATACATTGGACACTTCCCTCATGATCTGATTTTGTGGCCTGAAGAATAAGAGCAAGGCTAATTAATTAATTAAAAGCAAACATCAATAAATCAATCTTCACTATACTTATTTACAAATAGTTAATTAACCCAATTTACACGTTAAATTGTATTAAGGATTTGTAAATATTATTTATATGAGATATTACAACTAATTATTTATAATGATTATTGAAAAAATAGATTAAGGCAGAATATATTTAATTTAATTTATACAAAGTTAAATCAAGTGGTCTTACTTGAGGCCCAAAATAAGGAGGTGAGCGTAGGCAACAATACTTCTTGCGATCCAGTAGTTCGCCAAAAACATTGATGATGAATGTCGAAGCTCAACCATGAGCTTGGTGAGATCAAACATGGACTTTATTGAGTCATTCAAAAAAATTTCATTCTCAATAGATAGGATTGAGTTTACACTTTTTCGTAGAGCAGTCATGTTATAGGATAATCCTTTCTGATGGCTTGATTGTGAGGCAACTTTAAATTTTCCTCGGATGATCGCAAAACATGCGAGTAACATTACTCCCTTAGCATGCCACATATACTTTGACAACAAACTTAGTAGATAAATGGCAATTGAGTGACTATCATCATAGCTTACACAAGTGAAGGGTATCTAAAAATGATAATGAAATTTAAAAGAAAAAAGTCATCATTTGAACTCATATAAAATTGTGTGATGAATGGATGATTTATATATACCATACCACGAAAGAGAGTTGCAAAACAACAAATGAAATCTTCTTCTCGATGTGCTCTTGTAACTGTATCTTGTCTTGCATTGCTTCTCGAGGAACCTAAACCCATACTCCATTAACACAAAGCTAGTGTGATGAAAACAAAAATGGAACTATTTCTAAGCAGGAATAGTAAGAACATTTAAGAAATCTCTCATTGGTCTATGATTATTCAGATATATATAATTGTATGATAAAAATCATTCACTATAGGTGCATATATATACAATGGTAACTAAATCTATATAATTGTCAATAAAATAATTTTAAAAATTGTTTAATGTAAGTAATATTGACAAACCGCATTGAAATTGAAAATGTCCTCCACAAATTTAAGAAGACAATTTGCATCAACATCTATGCCACCATTCGGATTATGCGTATCCTTAACTTGTTCTATGATGATCTTCTCTTCAACATAAGTCATTTGTAGTTGTGAAATTGTTGTTCTTGACCGAGAGAGAGGTTGGGTTGCCATGTCTTGTAGGTAAGATAATTAAGAAGAGGAGAATTGGCTTTTTGAAAAAAGAATAATCAAAGTTTAGTTAGATTGGTTCCGGTCATGACAATGTAGCTCTTATATAATATTAAAATAAAAAATCTAGCTAGTGGAAGAATTAATTGAGTTTGCTTCACTGTAAGGAAAAGAACCAAAGAGGAATATAATCTTTTATTTCATTGTTGGATTATTATATGAGAAGTTTGTCTTCTTGCTTACAAAAACACAAAAGTAAAATAGAATAACTAACTAAGGAAGTTAGGGATAGTATTATTTTTTTGTTTTGAAAAATTTCCCATCCAGTCTCTTTCGTTACTTTACTTTTATTACTTATTCTTGAGAAATAAAAAAAAAAAAAAAAAAAAAAAAAAAAACAAACTCCTCATGATCATCATATATATATCATACAAATTTTATTTTATCTGGTCTACATACCAATTTAATAGCTAAGCTCTTTGGAGGCTTGAACAACAAACAAAATTAAAAGAAGAAAAGAGCAGAATTGAAGATGGAAATTGTAGGGAATTCCCTTAGCTTTCCATAGCCACTTGAATAACCTCATTTAGACATCGTATGTAAGAGATATTATCAAAACACTATCAGCATGTTGCAGGACAGATTCCTGCATCTGAATGTTCTTATTGTCTAGTATGAATATTAGTGCATTTGGAATCTCCAAAAGTGTCCAACACAAAAGTTGTATGGAACTTCCTTAGCTTTCAACACTTGAATAATCTCATTAATTTGAACATGGTATGAATAATTTATGGCCAAAACATTCAAATATGTCGCGTATTATCTTGTTTTACCATTTATTAATAATGACTAAATTTTATCGAAAATAAAAGATCTTGGGACCACGGGCGTAGACCAAGACTTTTCTTGGAAAAGGCTCGCATAGAAGTTTGGAACTACAGTTATCGGCCACCTCTAACCTACATAGTTTTAACTTTTTTTCCTTTAATTGCGTTTTTTAAAAGAAAAAAATTTAAAATTAGTAGTCACAAGATCAAACTCCGACCAATAGTGAGGTATTAATTTTTTAGACTCAACAAGATTGAGAAAATATAAAACGGATATTATCTTGTAAAGAATCATGAATATTTCAAAAAAAATCTTGAAATTGCCCTGGAAGGGCAATAATCTTTTCAATTATAATGTTTATAACTATAGAGTCTTCGTACGTACATTTTCACTTTGCACAGGAAACTCCAAAACAACAATATACTCGAATTGGACACTTCAATGTAACGTAAACAATTGACAATAAATAGAAATCAGCAACGTATATGAATACTAATAGTTTGATCAAAATTAATATTTTAATTTGGTTCAAGACAATATTATTTTTAATTCTGTTCGAACTCTCAACCTTTCTTTAAGGAATGAGAGTACTCCAGTATAATAACTCGCAATGGAGTGATTTGATTGAGAAAGTGTTAACAAGAGTCGAACTCGTCATTTTTTGACGATACAAGAATTATGTTTTATTTAGCCACCCTTTCTGAATAAAGGGGGAAAGACGAGAGGAGGGTTTAATCCAAGGGGAATGTGGTTTCATCAATTTCCTTTTGACCAAATAATTGAAAAGGGGGAGGATATGGTTGTAGTTGAGAACCTAATGTACACAACTAACAAGAATTGTGGAATGAGAAAATGAATCCTCTTTAATCTTTTCTTAATATATATAGTCCTCTTTATTGGTGCTATTATTATCTCTGTATGGTCAAATCTTAGTAGATGATGACGTGGGCTGCCACTTATCATTTCAACATGCACGGTTGGAAATCTCATTCTTTCTGCCCAACCAAAGAAAACGACATATTTTGGTCGGAAAAAGAAATTTCCGACCAACATACCGACCAAATAGAAAAAACACTCGTCAAAATTTCCGTGCAGAACTAATCTTTTGTCGAAAATAGCTTCTAACATACAAAAATTGGACGAAATGCTAGAGGGTAACCCACCATTCTTTCAGATGATACAAGATGGATATTTATTGCCTTTATGCACAGGCAATATTATGACTTTAACAGTCTTTAAGTTATCTATCCATTTTGATTTATTTTATTTTTAGTTTTCGATTTAAAAAAAAAAGTTCTATTTTTTAGTCCACAATGTTCTTAAATGCAAGAGGGCATGGGTTTGATGAACTGTTCACAAAACGAAAATATTGCCTATCTATCTAGGATTGGGGTGCAGCTCTGATTCTCCTTCAATTCTCATCTCAGGCTGATGATACAGTTTTAATACACTGTTATTGCTATTATTCTAGTAATTGGGACATTGAAAACGTGAACAAATTAAAGGTTTAATTTGCATGTATATTCAATGAATAATATTACAACCATGAACATACAAGTACAAACATAATACATGCAATTGTAGTATTCCTAGTCTTCATCCTGTTTATAATGTAAGAAATTGGTTGGACCATGACAACAAGAGAAAGTGACAAATTTATGCATGTTCTGGTTACATTGAGGGCAGGACATATCCAAATTAGATGAGTGATTGAGAGCACAACAAGGGTGTTGATGGGAAGAAGAAGAAGAAGTATTAAGCATCCCATAGTAATCCTTGAATGCTTGTTCAAAATCATTGGCATTCTCCCATTTCTCATACTCATTCAACACTCTTAACATTTTGTCTCCCATATCACATGCAATTATTCTTTTCCCTTTGCCCAACAAAGCCCATGATCCAATTGTTGTACATTCTTCTCCATAAGATAATAATTTTCTGACTCCTTGCAAAATTTCATCACTCCCTTCATCAAGTCCAGCCTTACTCAAATATTGAATCCTAGATGAGGCCACACTATAAAGTCGAGCCCAAAAGAGATTAAAAAGAACATAATAAAGCGCATTTCCACCTGCTGTATGCACCTCTTCAATCATTTTTCTTCTTCTTCTTCCAACGTATACAATTATCATATTCATTTGAAATTTGGAGCTAACTTCTTGTACCTTAAGTACAAATTCTAGAACTCGTTTAATGTTATTGCCTCCGCAGAAGAAAATGTACTTTTCATCATCATCAATCTGTTCAAAAGAAAAATACATCGAACAATATAATGTTTTATTAATGTTTAAATGAATCGTTCATTTAAAATAAAAATTAAAAAAAAAATATTGAATAGGGAGTAGTAATTTTGTTTAAAGCATGAGGGGACGTACAAGCTAAGATAATTGAATATAATTGTAGGTAGGCAGGCATGCAGTTTAGCTTAGCTTAGCCACTAATTAATCAGAATTGAAAATGAGGACACATTACTTACCCACGAGTTTATCATGTCTTCGAATGGCCAGTGGTTACTCGTTCCTACTACAAGCTTAAGATTCCAAGATTCTTTAATCCAAAGCTCTTGTTCCATCTCACAAGTGTAATTGTATGAACGAAACTGATGAATATATAAAATATTGTTGTATTTGTATAAAATGGTTGAATTCCATAATTATAAACTTTTTAGTAAAAAATTTTCTAAATAAATAAAGATAGACATGTACATATAATAAGCGAGTAAGAGTTTAATTATTAGATAGACATACTGAACTTTTCATCTTTGTCTCGATGTCGTTCATCCAATCATTGATCTTTTTGCGGACCTCTCTAGCCAAATTATGTATTTGTTGGTCAATATCATCAATCACACGGTCAGCACCAGAAGTCCTTTCTCTCAATTCATTTTCTAATGAAGGGATTATATCATCTGATCTCATTGTTCTCCTTTCACAAATTTTATCTCCCCATATGAGTATCATGTGTAGTGCATTAGAATGAACCAACCTTCCCCGTTTGTCCAGTGAGATGACAATAGGGTCACCCCCAACTTGAAACGTTGGGAAGCACTTCTCTTTTAAAAATCTTACAAATTCTACTGCAATCCATTTTTGTGGAACCAATACACAATAGGCGTAAAAGTCACGCATTTGTATATGATCATCCAGATCATCATTTATAATTGGAACCCAAATCATCTTTACTCCTCCCGTGCTCGCCGCATGATATGCATAATAGGGGAAGTGTTTGCCGGATGATATTAGCAATAGCACTCCCTCCCCTTCAAACTCATCTAATCCCATTGAACCCTATAAGTAAACAAGATATTTGGATTGGAGGTCATCAAATCAAGTGCAGTATTCCACATATATGATAAGGTAAGTAAGAACAAATGCTTATACGTACTTGTCACGGGTGCAAAATTGGATTCTCTTTATTATTTTTGACATTGAATATCAATTTAAGAACGTCTAAGATATTTGAAGAATTATCAAACGCATGTAACAATGTTTGATAATTTTCTTCTGCCCTTTTTGCCTCTGCATACACAAAACTATAAGTAATCTCATTGCTAAATTATGATTATTTTTGGTAAAATATATTTACTCAAAGTACTGTAATTTTGGATTTAAGTAATCATTTTAATTAGAAAAATTAAGGATTATTTGTTTGCATAACAAAGTTTAACTTTTACAGTCAATTTATAACATGAACCAGAAATTATATGATATTCATAATTATACATGAATTATAATCATAAACATTTCGTAACTAAATATTAAAATAAAATATTAAGCCAACCTAGTAGTGGGAGGCTGGAAGTAAGAATTTCTTTGATTTTGGTGGATACATTGGACAGTTCCGTCATTATCTGATTTTGTGGCCTGAAGAATAAGAGCATATATGGCTAATTAATTAATTAAAAACAAACATCAATAAATCAATCGTCACTATACTTATTTATGAATAGTTAATTAAACCCAATTTACACGTGCTGTTGTGCAATGTATAAATTAATGCTTTGAAATATATATTAATTTTCAGCTTAAATTAATATTGTATTAATGATTTATAGGTATTGCTAACTATCAGTGTGATAAGACTTCAGTAATCACTTTAAATAGGTGGTTGCAAGATTGAGAAAGTATAATAAAACAGGTACTACTCTGTAAAGAATCATGAGTGTTTCAAAAAATGATTTATAGATATTTATACGAAATATCACAACTAATCATTTTTAAAGATTATTGAAAAATTAGATTAAGGCAAAAAGATCGAATATATGTAATTTATGCAAATGTTAAATCAAATGGTCTTACTCGAGGCTCAAAATAAGGAGGTGGGCATAGGCAACAACACTTCTTGCGATCCAATAATTCGCCAAAAACATTGAAGATGAATGTCGAAGCTCAATCATAAGCTTGGTGAGTTTAAACATGGATCTTATTGACTCATTAAAAAAAATTTCATTGTCAGGAGATAGCATTGAGATTAGACTAGTTTTTAGAACATCCATAGTGTAGGACGATAGTCCTTTCCGATGACATGATTGTGAGACAACTTTAGATTTCCCTCGGATAATCGCAAAACATGCGAGTAACATTACTCCCTTAACATGCCACATATACTTTGACAACAAACTTAGCAGATAAATTGCAGTTGAGTGACTATCATCATAGTTTACACGGGTGAAGGTTACCTAAAAATGAGAATGAAATTTAAAAAAAAAAAAAAAAAAAGTCATCATTTCATTTGCACTCATATAAAATTGTGTGATGAATGGAGGATTTATATATACTATATACCACGAAAGAGAGTTGTAAAACAATAGATGAAATTTCTTTCTGGATGTGTTCTTGTAACTGTAACCTCGGTCCGTCTTGCATTGCTTCTCGAGAAACCTAAACTCATACTCCATTAACACAAAGTTAGTGTGATGAAAACAATAATGGAACTATTTCTAAGCAAGAATAGTAAGAACATTTTAGAAAATCTTTGATTGTTTGTCCATTATATTATTTTTTTATTATGTGAGAAGCCTATCTTCTTGCTTCAAAAACACAAAATAAAATGTTTGAGCACTTTCTGGCAAGGACTATTTAGTAAAATATCCCATAGAATACCAGATCTGAGGAAAGAATTGATCGAAATAGAATTTTTACCAACAAAGTTGGACAGTAGAAAAAGGTAGTATGTAGTTTACCGTCTCAGATTTTCCATGTTCATCACTTCCTTCTTCCTCAGGATCATCTTCATCACTCTCTGAATCTTCATTAGAATGTTCATCTTCATTTTCAGAATTATCTTCATCACTCTCTGAATCCTCATTAGAAGATTCATCTTCTTTTACAGAATTATCTTCATCACTCCCCCGTCTCTCCAAATTCTCATTAGAAGACTCATCTTCTTTTTCCGAATTATCTTCATCACTTTTTGAATCCTAAACTCATACTCCATTAACACAAAGCTAGTGTACTGATGAATCAAGAATGAAACTATTTCTAAGATAAATTCTACCATTTACAAATTAAAATCTCTCTTTCAACTATGATTATTCAACATAAAATTACTAGATGACGTTGATAATAATAGTATGGATTTATATATATATATATTTTGTATTTAGCTGATTGTATTATAAAAATTTATTCAATATAGGTGCATATATATACAATGCTAATAAAATATGTATATTTGTGAAGAACAAAACTTTAAAGTATATGGACAAACCGTATTGAAATTGAAAATGTCTTCTACAAACTTGAGAAGACAATTTGCATCCACATCTATGTCACCATTAGGATGATGTGTATCCTTAACTTGTTCTATGATGATCTTCTCTTCAACATGAGTCATTTGTAGTTGTGAAATTGTTGTTCTTGATGGAGAGAGAGGCTGAGTTGCTATGTCTTGTAGGTAAGATAAGAAGAGGAGAATTGGCTCAATGAAAAAACAAAAATTAAGGTTTACTTGAATTGGTTCTGGTCATGACAACATAGCTCTTATATAATATAGAGATTAAAAATCTTGTGGAAGAATTAATTGAATTTGCTTCACTGTAAGGAAAAGAACCCAAGAAGAATATAATCATTTATTTCATTATTGGATTATTATATGAAGCTTGTTTTCTTGCTTACAAAACACAAAAGCAAAATAGAATAATTAAGGAAGTTAAGGATAGTATTATTTTTTGTTTTGAAAATTCTCCAGTCTCTTTCCTTCCCTTACTTTTATTACTTATTCTTGAGAAATAAAAATGAAACTCCTCATGATCATCATATATATATATAATACAAATTTTATTTTGTCTGGTCTACATACCAATTTAATAGCTAAGCTTTTTGGAGGCTTGAACAACAAACAAAATTAGAAGCAGAAAAGAACAATGGTAAAAGAATTAAAGATGGAGGTACATATAGCTTTATATATCTAAAGAAAAACTCAGTGATGAAGTAAAGGATTGTAATATTGATTTTGTGGCCCAAACATTCAAACACTTTACATGAATTTTTATACTTTCCCTCAACTCCACTCTTGTATATATGGTGTTCTTGATTCTTGATTTCTTGATAACTAATACACTACTACTACAAATAAAAAGTGCAACACATACAGATTCAGCTGCACTAGTACAGTTAAGCTAGTTGAACTTCATACCTCTCACATGAATGGATTGTGAAAGGGCAAATTAAAGCATGGAATCAGTGTTATCTTCTCCGTATGGTATCAGCAAGGAGTATAATAAAGTGCAGATATACTCACCAGAATTTTCAAGTAATCCAGGCCAGAATGAAACTGTGAGTTGAATTTCTTCATCTTCTTCTCTTCCTGTTTCCTCCCAATTGCCCAGATTTAAATGCGTGCTCTTGTTCTTGAAGAAAAGCAAGCGCTTTCCCATACTTTTCAGACCTTTCTTCTGCTAGAGCTGCTTTCTCCTTCTCCTTCACCCCAAACAAGAAATGATTATCTTTACGAATTTCACGAGCAGCTCCTTTCGCTTCCTGTTTTACGCGTTTCTTTAACTTCCTTATCTCAGCCCGTTCACGATCTGGGTCATAATCTCTACCCTTAATAAAGCTGCACAATTCAATTCATCATTAGACAACAATCATGTCCATAAATACTACCCGGCCAACATAATGTAATAAGTACTAAGGATTATTACTTGTCTTCAAATTTGGGATTAACCATCTTGATAGGCACAGGCTTTTGCTTCCTCATTCTTAGAGGTTGACGCAGCCTGTGATTTTCCTCAACTTTGTTTTCAATTAGTTGGATAACATTCTTGATTTTCTCCTGTAATATGTCTGGCATATGATTCTGTGCTGCCAGTTCATTCAAAAGCTTTAAGATTGGCATGAATATTTCAGGAAAGGAATTAAATCCTTCATAAATATTAATGAATCCTTGAATGGTCTCCATGATTGCTAAAAGGATGCTAGCCCTGCATACAAGACCTTCCATCAGATATCATTAAAGTCTGGCAGTCCAAGACTCCAAGGTGACAACAGAAGAAATCATATACGTAGAGAAACGATGAACCACAGCATAGCTTCAATGCACACAAATCATATCCGGTCAGATATAAAATTCTAAATTTCTGGTTTAGTAATGTACACCATCAAAAACATGCAACTTCTTGCATGAACACTAAGAATAAATAAAATTTCAAGAATGACATGACAGAGGTCACCTGAATTCATCAGAGTTATAGTAAGGGGAATCAGCCGTTAACTCCATCAGCATAACAAAATTCAAAGCCTTAGTCTCTGTATGCCTACTTCGTATATGAAGAAGAGGCCTTACTCCTTTAATCTCTAAAAGACTATTCAACTGTAGGAAATAAACATGTGACATTAGTACTTCAATTATCTTCAGTTCATGAATAAGAAAACGAAACATTTTCCATCAATAAACAATTTAAAGTAAGTCTCAGTGAGGCAAACCTGAGAGGTATTAGAATGCCTTTGTTTCTTGTCTAATGCTGCTAGCAGCAATGTTTGAATGAATATTATAGCCTCAGGACAATACTTGAGAGAATGTTTAACAACCTGCAAGAGGATTTAGGCAGTTGGTAATTGAAAACTCAGATTGGAAGGGGAAAATTTAAAGAAAATTTATTCTATGATAGAAAGTAGTCCTGATATGATATATGTGCACTTACAGACAGCATCATAGAACATAAGAAAGATCCAACTGCAACGTCTCGGGCACGTGTGATAGGACACCGCGTTAAATACTCCGACATTAATAGTATAGCCGGAGTCATAACAACATGGCGGAAATCAGAGCATGGAAACATCAGAGACCAAAGCCTCAAAAGAAAGAGTGTTTTCATAGAAGGCCAACAGTTTTTCCCTATCATGGAGCAAATCAAGGTCAGAAGAATGTGTATGAGTAGGGAAACTAACATATTATTATTACTTTTTGCATCCTACTATTAACAGAACAACACAATCCAAAGATATCCATTAACACCAACCTTCATTTTTAAGATCTTCGCAGAGCAGCACCCTAGTTCTATGTAAACGTTGGCGAGCACATATGGCTGCAAAATAGGGGATCTCCGCACTCATCTCCATCAATGGCCTTACAAGCGAATTCAAAAACTTCAAATTTAATGGAACTTTATTTGCCAACACCGCAAAATATTGTAATAATATCCCATAGAATACCTGAGGAAAGAAATTGAATTTACCACAAAGATGGATAGTAGAAAAAGTAATAGTTTAAAAGAACAGGAGAAACCACCACTTACTCTTCTCTTTAATTAAACCAGCATTTCATGTACACACACACACACATAGATCTTGTATGGAAACAAAAGATTCACAATATAAGACTTGACTTGTAAAGCAAATAAAAGAGTAAGACAGTTTCATACTTGCATTTTCTTTCGATTTTCAGCAGCAACCTTGATAGCATTGAATGCACGAATTCTACTAATTGCTTCAATTATTTGCTCATCGGAACATTTCTCTAACAATGAAGTAAATTCTTCAAAGCTCTTTGGTGCTTCAATAGTATAAGGAAGTTCAAATTGTTGAGCTGAATGCTGCTTCGAAGGCGATTGAGATTTTTCAGTATCTATTTTATCTTTTTCCTTCCTCTCTGCTTCTATCAAGTTAGAATTTTTTTCAACCTTTGACTCTTTGATTACACCCTCACCAAAATCATCTTCACTGTCCTCTAAATCGGTGCCAACATTCTCATCATCACTCTGTTCCCAGTCTTTTACAGTCTGAGATTTTCCATGTTCATCATCATCATCATCATCATCAATTCCTTCTTCCTCAGGATCATCTTCATCACTCTCTGAATCATTATCAGAAGATTCGTCTTCATTTTCAGAATTATCCTCATTTTCCCTTCTCAAGATTTCATCAATCCACCCCAATTTAGTTTTGGGCTTTTCATCATTGAAGGAGTCACCAAGATCATCCCCAGATATGGGTTTTTTAGCAGATGCATCATTATCATCATGTGCATTGTCATCTTCATCACTGGAGTCATCAGCGGCAATCATCCTCTTCTTTCGTTCCTCCTGAAGATATCCACTTAAATATTTGGATCGTACCAATAACAGAAACATTTTTTTTATCAAGAGAGTGGCAAATTTGAGGGAAATACTAAGGGCCTATTTAGTTACAAGCAAAAAGGTTTCCCATTTCCTCATTTCCAGCATTCTAAAATTTTTCAGGTTTTTTATTTTCATTGATTAACTAAAGTTCTCTAAATAATTTTAGGTATGTAAATATGCCTAAAGAATTTTCAGACTGAGGGACTTAAATGTTAAGATAAGATCAATCTTTTACAAAATTTGCATTTTCTCAGATCTCACGTCAATTATATATTTGAAACATGATAAAGAGAAGGTACAATGCAAGTAGAAAACCATGATTCTTTTAGTAATATACCTCCAATCTTTCCAGGCGCTCTTTCTCTTCTTGCGCAATTTCTTCAGGTGTCTTTGCTAATTCTGATGCTCGAGCACGAACATCCAGTGCCATCTCACTAAGAAGCTTGTCATAACTATCAGGTGTTTCCTACCACAATCAATTCAGTACAGCAATCAATATAGACATTCAATTCAAAATGGCAACAGCATTAATAAAGGAGTTAAAATAAGATAAACTATATTCCAAATTAGATGGAGAATTGGCATGGCGATAATAAAAGAAGTGAAGTGCATAGAGGACAACTATACCTTTTGCAAAGAATCTTTTCTCCAAGATTCAGCCGCTTTACTTTTCTTTTCATTGTCATTTGGAATGCTCTTGTTAACAAGAGCTTTTAGAGCACTAATCTTGTCTGGTTGTGTAAGTGACACCAATGCTTTGGAATGCACCATGGATGTGAAATCTTTGTCCAATTGTTCAACAAACTCCTCATTTTCTTCTTTATCCTTCGCTTTTTGAGCCTAGTAGGAAAAAATTGAAACCAAATTTTAAACTGAAATAGTCAAACTATCCCCTATGCAAATATAATAAAGTGATCAACCATCCCAACCTTGAAGAATTTACTCTTCAAAATGATTTCTTCCATCACTTCTTTCTTGGATTTTTGCCTCTGCAAAAAGATGTCAGACAAAATTATTAGCTGAGTGAACAAGAACAAGTAAAGTCCATCCATCAAATTGGCTAGATTTGAATGCATCTCACATCTTCCTGTCCTTCCACCAGACCACGTTGCATAACCTGTGATCCATGAGAATCAAGTTGTTCCAAGATAGCTGACCTCTCTACGCAGTCAATAGGGAAAAGGAAACAAATTTAAGGTTACTTGAATTTGCATGTAATATATAAGATAGTTTTGTCAGCGCTTTTCAAATGGTACTTCATTATAAAGAAAACCAATATTGGGGACTTACTGTCACCATCATTGAGTCCATCATCTTCATCCTCATCGAATGGTACTTCATCCTCGAAATCATCCCTTCCTCCTGAGAATCCAACATCTAATTCCTCTTCTTCCCCATCCGACAAGTTATACTTGCTTTTTTTCTTCAATTTCAACTACAATTAGAAATGAAAACCTGGGATTAATACCACAGTAATGATTTCCTTCTGTTTTGTAAATAAGATACAAATAACAGAAATAAATTGCAAAACACAAAATCCACTGATTCTTAAATAAATAATCAACTTCTCCTCTGAGCACAACTTGGAGTAGTAGACTACCAGAGAAGTAAAACCTTATTGAGCTACAACTATATTTCCAAAAAAATAAAACATAAAATCAATCAACTTTCAGCACTCATGAACTAAATAAGTATTAAACAGAAGATGTGACTAAAGTTCATGTTTTGCAAGACTAGAACACCAAAAGCATTTACCCTTCGTTCGCGCTGAGACCTGAGAATAGCTTTATCGAACTCCCCAAGCTCTTCATTCTGCTCCCCAATTCTCTTGTCAACAAACACTGAAGACTTCGCACTTTGCTCATACTCCTTCAGCAGCGTATTCTTCCTCTGTTACCAAAAAATAAAGGACAAAATTAGCATAATAAAAAATCAACATCCACACCAATGCATTTGTTAGTAATTCCCAGCTTCTTAGAGTATCCCAGGGAGGGTGTGTGCCAACCAAAAAAAGACCTTTTCTATGGCGAGAGAGCGGGCGAGGCCGATACGGCGTTCTTCTCCTTTGCGTTTCTTGCCGAGGATGTCAAATTTCCGGCGAGACCAGATGGCTTCGAAAGGATTGGGAGCGGGAGCTTTGAGTTTCATGCCTATGGCCTTTGGCCCGGACTTGTTCTTCTTCTTCCGCTTCTTCGCATTGTCGTTCTTTGTAGGATTTGATTTCTTCCCCATGGTTGAAATTCGCTGGAAACTGGAGGAAAGGGAGCTGTCTTGGTGACTATCCCTCTCTGGGAGTTTGGGAGAACAGGGGTTAGGGTTTTAGGATTTTTGGGACGATGATGGAAATTGGGGTTTCACAAAATTAATTAGGATAAGCCCAATTTGGCCTTTAAAATTTCAAAAGCCCATTATTGTTCCCAAGGCAAATTATTTTGTGGACCCCCGGTCCACGTTATATAGTCGTTATATCGTGGACCGCGGTCAAAACGAAGCGCGCTTTTTTTAGTGTGTTAATTACCAACTGAAACTATAGTGTATCTAAACTGACAATAGTGTATATAAATCGACACTGCCTCATGTATTATTTTATATATTATCAAATGAAACTGTAGTTATATCAAAATGATATTGTAATTGTGGTGAAATGAAACTGTAGTGTATATAAAATGAAATTGAGTAACATTTCACATATTTGAGTGTATATTGTGCAATGAAGCTGTAATTATATCAAAATGATCATGTAGTTGTGTGTTAATGAAACTATTGTGTATTTAAAATAAAATTAAATAACATTTTCACATATTTGAGTGTATAAATATCGAATGAAACTATAGTTATATCGAAATGAAACTGTAGTTGTGTTGAACTGAAATTGTAGTGTATACAAAATGAAACTAAATAACAGAGTTACTTTTTCGCGGAACGGCGCGAAACGGGGTGCCATTTCTTTTTATTAAACAAAACGACATCGTTTTGAAGCTCGGTGCATAATCGATTATGCACCGCGGTGCACGATATAATTTGCCCACCTTATAAGGTGGACTCAGATTCAAAAATACACAATTTACATATTGAATATTTACAATCTACCTACTGAATGTTCACAATTTACGTACTAAAAGTTCACAATTTAAATTATAAACATTCAGCATGTAAATTGTGTATTTTGAACCTGGGTCCACATTGCAAAGTGGACCCGATCCATGGTATAACTAATGTGTTCCCAACTAAGATGTTTGGATGTGTGATCGAATCAAATCCAAATAGTTAAAGTTTAAAAATAAATTAGACTCACGAGCTATCAAACTAAGTTTTAATAAGCTCAAATTCGGTTCAATTCATTAATTATTTGGAGTTTTTAACTATTCAAGTTTGAGCTCAAACTCAACTAGATAGTACCTTAATCGAATTCAAGCATTCGCCGAATCAATTTCGAATAGCTCACTAATGGTGTGTTTGGTTCATGAAATAGGTCGGGAATAGAATACCGTTTCCGAGAATCGACCTATTTCATTGTTTGTTTTGTCATTTTATTCAAGGTAATAGCGTTCGCGGGAATGAGCTATTCCCTTTGCAGGTGGAATAGTCATTCCTAGGGGACCCCTGGTATTAGCTATTCCCAAGTATTTGGGAATAACTTTAGTACTATAATACCAAAAATACCCTACCATCGCCACCACTGCCGTCGTCTCCACCACCACCCCACCACCGCCACCACCACCACCATCGCCACCGCCACCACCACCTCCACTGCCACCACCGCCACCACAACTACCACCGCCACCACCACCACCACATATTTTTATGAGGGTATTTATGTCTTTTGAAACATATTTCATTCTATTCCTTAAACCAACCAAACACTGTAATATAATTCCTAAAGTCTATTCCTTCCGCGAACCAAACAATAGAATATAATTCATATTTTATTCCTTGCCTATTCCATTCCATATGGAATAGCATTCCTGTTACCTCAAAATTCATTATGTGAACCAAACGTGTTGTAATAGTTTAACCCATTTGTATCCCAATCCCCAACATTATTGAGAGTAGAGACCTAAAAGCTAGCTAGTGATTAACGGGAAGGAATCAAGTGCAGGTGGTGCTTTTCGTGCTGTTGTGTGGGTGGACTCACATTAAGCATTACACTAGCGCACTTTAAGTACACAACACACGGACATTAAACACACAAACAAAATACATTCAGAACACAAACTCACGCACCTTAAGCACAAAAGTCACACATCTTAAGCACAACCATCATGCACCTTAAGCACAAAACTCACGCACCTTAAGCACAAAAAAACACGCACCTTAAGTTTTAACAACAACTCACATTAAATACACACTCACGCACATTAAGTACAAAACTCACGCACCTTAAGCACAAGACTCACGCACCTTAAGCACAAAATTCACTCACATTAAGCACAAAAATCACGCACATTAAGCACAAAACTCATGCACTTTAAAGTTTCAACAACAACTCACATTAAGTACATACTCATGCACATTAATCACAAAACTCACGCACCTTCGGCACAAGACTCATGCACCTTAAGTACAAAACTCACGCACATTAAGCATTACACACTCACGCACATTAAACACAAATCTCACGCACTTTAGCACAAGACTCATGCACATTAAGTACAAAACTCACGCACATTAATCTGCCACACAACCGCACGGGAGACATTTACCCGCAACTGGAATTTAATTCAGTGATTAAAAATGCTCAATACATTGTTTTTTTTGTTTTTTTTTTTTTTTTTTGAGAACTCAATATATTGTTCATATCCATCATTTTTTCCCCGTTAGAATAAGTATACCTAAAACCATTTACAACTAACTACAATACAAAATGCATTGTTTGGTTGGCAATACAATACTATTTTAATCATTATTTCTTATTGTAATTATTATTATAATTATTATTATAATAATAATTTACAACTCCAACGATCAATTCAATATGCAAATAAAAAGAACAAATAATAGCACTTAATGACTAAATAAATTAATTATTATCATATTCATAGAAAAACAAATTGTTATACATATTGACTTACCTCAAGTTATAACAATCTCATATTGGACTTGCATATTTTGGATGATCCTTTTGAAAACTTCATATGTTGTTGATGGATGATCTTGTGACTGTCACGAGATTCAAATTTTTATAGTATTTCTTAACTTATTGTACTTTGATGTTGTTTCTTTTTATCTTTTTCGTATAAATAAATTAATTAGACACTCAAAAAATCATATTTTGTACGAAGTAAAATTTAATTTTAAGAGTTTGTTGGTCTCATCATCGGTTAGGTTAAAGTCCTTCAAAAGATGAAATTATGCTATATACATATAAAGGAAAGTGGTTGCTATTTTGACTCATGGGAATAATAATAGTGATTTAAAGTATGGTGTCCAAATAAAGGTGATCATGTTAGTTTAGTTAAAATAGAAAATCATGCAAAAAAGGGCAATATAAAGTTAGAGAAGCAAATTATTGGCAATATAAAGTTAGGCACTATGACTTTTGCACATTTAGAAAAATGAGTTTCCCCAATCCTTACCAAACAGGGGTCCCATCTTGGCTTTGTTATATATATATATATATATATATATATATATAATTTATGTGTGTATATAAAATGTTGATTTCTACTTTATAAAAATTAATATATATATATATATATATATATATATATATATATATATATATATATATATATATATAATTTATGTGTGTATATAAAATGTTGATTTCTACTTTATAAAAATTAAAAACCCAATACTTTGAGGTAAGCTTTTGATTTGTAGTATAAGAGAAGCAACTAGGAAGTGGAAAATTCAAAAGCAAAATATTTTGTGTATATATTTGAATAAATTAAAGCGTTTAAGAAAGAGTGATCGATCAAATTATTATTATTTTTAATTATAATAAGTAATCACATTAAATATCAAATATATAATGCTAGTGGGGTGGGGATGGGGAAGGGGCTATTATTAGGGATTGTACATAGAAAGAATTGCGTGGTGAGTTTTTATTTGTTTTTAGGATAAGGATATTTGATAATTTCTTAATTAAGTTGTGAGGTTAGTGGGTTGTGTTTGGCAAAAGAAAAGCTTATATATAGTGTTTTTTGGGTGGAATTTAATTCATAATCGACGGTGAGGAGGGAGACTAGAATTTTTGGTTGATTGTAGAAGATTGGTGGTGTAATGTTGGGTTGTTTGGTTTCTCTCATACATGACGAGAGGGTAATAAATGTATAGATCACTTAGCAAAAGTAAATTAAAGAATTGGTACGTTCTTAGAAAAAGGTATAATAGGCTTGATTGTCCACCGGAAAGCATTAAACATCTTTTAAGTTTGAAAATCATAGCTAGGAACAGACTTTGTTGCATTAAATTACAACCTAATTGTATGTGTTTGTTGGTATTTCTACTGCTTAGCTTTGTGAATATTAATGTCTATATATGTGTACTAAAAAAAACATAATAATTTACGAATAATATATGTATATATATATCCTCAGATTGATTCAATTGAACCCTAACCTAAGATCAAAGACCCTCTGTTTGCCAATTCTTCCACCTAATTCTACATTAAATATATATAGCTTGATAGACAAAAGAAATGTCATGAAATTTTTTACCAAAAGCATATATAAAATAAAAGCATCACATAAGTTAAATAGTATATCAGAAGAAATTAAACTAACTACTGATCCTCATCATCCCATTCCAGAATCCAGATTATACATACACTTTACAACATGCATGTGTCTTCACTTTTTCAGACTTTGTCCCCAGAAAGTTGATGGAGCATGTGCACCCATTAGACCACTGTTCCATTCACAGGGAGCCTATGGTCTTCAAGGAACATCTTTGCCATGATATATGCTCGATGGATAATAATAATGTTTTACATTCTTCCATTATATATATATTCTTTTACTTATTTGTTTATTGCTTTGAGTTTAGGGGATAGTTAAAGAAAAGGGATGTTTGGTAAATAGTTGTTAGCTGATTGGGTTAGTTCTTTTAAAATGCTGAACCCCAACTCTAAGGGCCCCACACCCCGGCCCGACAGAGCATTTGGGAGGACTCAACTGAACATGAACCATAGAGGCTAGACCGGTGCTTACTGCACATGAACCATAGAGGCTAGACCGGTGCTTACTGCGCACAAGGAGTCCCCCTCACTTTGAGAGGTTGCTCCCACACTGCCGCTGGTGAGACTTGATCCTTGGTCATTTTTCCAAAATTTCACCTCTATGACCAGTTGAGCTACCCATGCGGGCAGCTGATTGGGTTAGTGGTTTGACTAGTTGTTAGCATTAACTAATTGTAGGAAGATGTTTGATAAATTAGCTGTTAACTTATAACTGATTACATGCAAAATAACTTTTATAAAAAAACTGCTTTAATTTGAGCATCCTTTTGGAGCAAACATTTTAGTATCAATTCAACCCCTTCTCATTTTAATACCAATCATATATGTGCTATGTTTTTTTGTTTACAACAAGAAGAAACTATATGTAATAGAGCAAATATATATTATCCCACTCAATTAAATGAAACTAGCAACTAATTAATCCAATAATATAATAATATATAGAGTTCATGCCAAAAGCCAGAAATCTTTTTGCCTTTTAGTGGTGATCAAGTAACCCCCAAGCTTCTTGCTTTTCCTCCTCACCGCTATGGCCATGCATGTAGCATTCTGTATGCAATACTCCACCACGCCGCCGCCGCCAACGCCGGCCGCCACCCGATTCCCCGCCCACATCATCACCAGCCGCCACGTCGTGGAACGTTTCTTCTGTCCCAAAACCAGCAGCGCCACCCCTTGCCTCCTTGCCTCCTCCACTATCGCCGGACCTTTTTCCTTTCCTTCTGCTATTGCTACCTCAACTTCTACCTATCAATCAAATTAAACCACCCACAAACTAGATTAATTTTTTTTTAATATATAATTGATCGAATTCAAAGAAATACATGTTTATATATGAAATTTTCGCACCTCTGGTCTCTTTAGTTTGCAAGTATTTTTCATGGATGAAAGAAATTCAGAGATTCTTGGACTTATTTCATTGCTATGCTCTTGACCTGCATGCCAAAAGTGAAATTAAAATTAGTGTTTTTAGTCCATTAAAATTAGTATTTTTTTTTTTGGTGAAGAAGGAAACTCGCAGTCGCAACCACTATATATTAGGTAAACCCTGTCTTGTGACCCTGATCAGCAAAGGATCACTCGAGCTTGTACATTAGGTAAACCCCACCTTATGACTCTAGTCAACAAAAGAACAGATAAATCACTGGCTCAAACTAAGAATGTGATGAATAGGTCACTTTTACTGAAAGTCAAACTTAGAAACTTATGATACTGAGTATCGGGTATTTGGTACATCTTTAAGATTTTAAATGATGTCCCGAAAACTAAGGACCAAATTTGCAACTTTGTTAAGACACCAATGACTAAATCTATACCGTAATTAAATATCTGAGGGAATAAATCATACCTCAAAAATAAAATATAAGCAAATTAATTGAAGGAAGAATATGCAAATCAAACCTTGTTTGGAAGAAGGTTTGGACCGTTTGGTTACATAAAGAAGGACCACAACATCTTGGCTCTGAACAGTGTGGGTGAGTGCCCATTGCAATGCATTCTTAGCTTCAAGGCTTGAATCAACCAAAATCATGATTTTTCGGCCCGGAAACTTGACGGTGGCGTCTCCAGAATTCTTCTTCTTCTCTTCCTCCTCCTCATCAACACCACCACCACCCCACCCTTTAACTACCCTTCTCTCTTCTTCATCATCATCTTCATTCTTGGTGGTACCATGATGTTTTGCATGATTCTTGATTGGTGAAAACCGGATTTGTACATGAGGCCTAATTCTATTCAAGCAAAAGCTTGGAATTGCAATGGTGGCACCAATTCTACCCATGACACTTCTAAGGATCCAAGAATAATGCACCACAAAAGCTTAGAATTGTGAATGGAACTTTAGAAAATGTGTTCTTATAGGGAGGAAAAAGTGGGGATAATCATGATGGTTTATGAGAAGGAAAAAAAATAAGAAGAAGAAATGATTAAGGTAACAAAGCAAAAGAGCTTCTAGTATGATGGTATATATATGACCAATTATAGAGGGGCCTACTAATTTTTAATGTGAGTAGGACATAACTCATAACTATCAATGATGTATTATCGCCTTGTGACTCTAGCAGTCAAATGGCCACAAGGCAGTAAATCAGTATAAGTTATTCATAGCTTATTGGTTCAAATAAAAAAGACCAATAAATCAGTCCCTTTGAAGTAGAACTTAATTGTAACATTTTTATTTTTATTTTTTATTAATGATTTGTTGGCTTTGCCACTAATTAGTTAATTTTAGTTGAGAGTGGGTCTGTAGCTGAACGTGGGTGTCATGAATGTTTATGAAGGGGCATCATTGGGCCATTCTTGATTCTTAAGATTATAAAGGTAACAGCTGTTGGATTTGGAGACTTTAGCATCATCAGCGGCCATGGAATCTTTTGTTTTCAAGACTCAAATTAAAAGAAAAAAAGGATGAAAACTTTATTAGTTGAGTTGACAAGGAATAAAATATATAGGTATATGTAAAATTGATAAAGTTATATCATATTATGTTTATGTTAAGATTGTATAAATTAAACATTCTAATTACTAAATATGGAAGGCTATCATAATAATATTATTTGTGTTTAAGAGTAAAATCCACCCAAAAAATTAACTTAATAGGTTGGAGAACGACCTTTTGAATTTAATTCTGAGATCATAAGATCGAATTTACTAGTTCCAATCCCACCGCTCTCCCAAGAGTCTTACAAAACCCAAACAATGGACTTGAAAGTTTATACTTGAGCCAATAATGTTTGAAATAACACTCAGATTATGTGTATACAGTTAAAAGATTATGTGCGCGTAAATTAATTTATTTACATATACATAATTTATTAACTAAATATACACAACACGCTGACTGCAAATACATAATTTTTAAATCAAAGTCTACAATACAATGTAGACCCTTGTTTAAGGTATAATACTGGCATGGGGTCAATCACTCAATCCAATGAGTCAAGCCCAATAAACAGCATGGTCCAATAATCCTTGTTGCCCAAAAAACGGAATCCTTAAGCTAGAGAATCAATAATGGCAAATTATGTTGTGCAACCGTGTGCACCATGTATGATGCATACGAAATTGAATCTATAATTTATATACTATAGATCCATAATTTTTATACTATAGATTCATAATTATTGAACTTTATATTCACAATTACAAAACTCTATGTTCATAATTTTCATTGTTCATATTCCCAATTGTTGAACTCTGTATTCACAAATCATTGAACTATATGTTCATAATTTGATAACTATACAGTATAGAAATTATAAATTTATAGTATAGAAATTATGAATCTATAGTATAAAAATTATGGATCAATTCCGTGTGCATCTTACATGGTGCACACGGTTGCACAACATAACGCTCCATCAATAATGGCAAATTATGCTCTGGAACCGCAAAATGGACACGATTCCAAAACAGCATCGTTTTGGTGGAAAACAGCACCGTGTCAATTAAAAAATAATTGCTTTCTTTCGCTGTTAACGGCGTTTTTCTTCAGATTCGGCAGTTTCCTTCCCAAACTCTCTGTTCACAAATATAGAAGTGTATGTTCATAATTACTGAACTCTATGTTCACAATTATAGAACTATATGTTCATAATTTTTGAACTCTAGAAGTCTATGTTCATAATCACTGAACTCTATGTTCATAATTTTTGAACTTCATATTCAGAATTATTGAACTCTATATTCACAATTACATAACTATATCTTCATAATTGTATAAATTCTATGTTCATAATTTTTGAACTCTATATTCATAATTCTTGAACTTTATATTCACAACTGCAGAACTCTATATACACATTTATGTAATAGTACGTATATTTACAATTTTTAATGTCGCTGAATTCTTTTGACAAAAAAAAAAAAAAAATCTGATTGGTGAAGGAAAAACAGTGCCACTAACAGCAAAACGGCATCGTATTGGAGTCCATAGCATAAGTGCATAACAGTACATCAATAATAGTCACGACATATCATTAAACAATCAATTAAGAAGGCAAAACTAATAATATACACCATAAGGTTCAAATGTCACAAACATCATCAGGAACTCCGAAGAGTTGTTGTGTCTTAATTATTTAGTTTCACTTACAGCACAGTACTTGAATATATAGGGTAGTTACCCAGAACACGGAGGGCAGATGAAATCATTAATAATAACATACTTAATTAGTACTATATATAATATATTTTATATATAGATTCATTGGTTCATGAAGCAAAGCATCCAAGATGGCATGGAGGATAGAGTGAATCAAGATTAAGGTCTAGGTCATTGTTGTTCCTCCTTGCTTCATCTGCTGCTTCTCCTCCTTGGTAGCTCCCCCTACACCCGTCACCGTATAATCGTGTTAATTACTGATACCCTTTTAAAATCAAGTGAAACTTTTGCGTTAATAATGTCATACAAAAGTTACATGGGAGAGAAAAATGGTAGAATGTAATTAATGTCAGTAAAATTAAAGAATAGTAATTTAAAGTTCAAACTTATCTGGACCACACAGTTAGCTAGGATAAGTTGGGGACCACAATTAGGTTGAGTTAGTTGGGTACAAACCCACTTTGTACAATGTGAGCCGGTCAATATTGTAAAAATGCACAAGCTAAGGGCAAAACCTAACCAATATTTTACCAATTAAGGATAATTTCCCATTACAACAAACTTGCCTAAAGACCACAAGGGTAGAATATTATTGTCTTTTAGGTGAAATAGTAAAACCAAGCGCATTGGTTGCAATTCATTGGTATATGTCAAAATCAAACGCTTACTACTACACAAAAAACTATAGCTATTAGCAAAAACACAATTTTATTTTGCAGTCAGACGTTTGAATGGCAGAATGTTGGACTCAGCTCTCTGAGCCGTCGCCCAACAGTTTACGAGACAAAGACAACGACTTTACAACACGGTTACAAATCCCACAATGGCAAAAGTAGGGGTTAATATAATCATTCTTCCAAAAGGTTGAACCCCGTTGAACCCCAACCCCCAAGGGCCCCCCACACTCCGACCCGACAGAGCATTTAGGAGGATGTAAATCATGGTAACTCAACTGAACATGAACCACAGAGGCTACACTTTTGCTCAGGGTTAATATAATCATGCTCCATATATATGTTGTGAATTTAGAGAGACAAAACAAGAAATGTATGTATATATGTTGCTTACCCAATGTTTAAGCCTGGAAGAGATGGCTGTTGAAAGAGGAAGGATGATGAGCCAGGAGGGACTTGATGATTTTGCTGCTCCCATGGTGCCTGTGGTTGTGCTGCCGCTGCTGCTGCAGCACTCTTCTCCTTCTCCTTGATCTAACCACACACAAATTAAGTTGCAAAAATCATCAAAATCTTAAACAATTTCCCTTTGAAACCAAACAAGAAACAAGACATATAACAATAACATATATATATCAACCTCACCTTCTTTGCTAGCATGTTATTTTCCTCGCGAATCGCCCTTTCCTGTCAAAGAAAACGACATAACTATCAACCCAATCACCATTTTCTCCGGTTACAAAACACACATTATAATGTGGATGGTTAACTATTATATTCTAGGTTCTGGAGAAAGGAAAACTGAGAATATGTTTACTCAAGTAATGGGCATAAGTACCTTTTTTTGAAGCTCAGAAAGCGATTCGTACAGCAATTGGTTCTGCAGTGCATTTGAATTGAGTAAGGGCATGCAATGTATATGGCAGAAAAAGAACATGAATTGAAGTGTAAAAAAACATATATATATATATCATACTCTTCTGGATCGAATTAGTTTAAGAGAAGAATCAAGTTGCTGCTCCAAATTCTGCAGATCTTTCAAGCTCAATGTGTCAAGATCTTCTCCCATGTAGTGCCTGCAGAATCAGGGTTCATAAGAATCAAACATTAATAGCAACCAGACACGATCCAAAGCATGTTGGCAAAAACACAGGATCGAGCCTTAATAGTCGCAATGTTGGAGCTACACCCAATGTAAGGCGCTCCTTGTAAGCACCAGACACTGATCCTTTCCGCTTAATAAAACACTGATTCATCTTGATTTACTCTTCGACTATCTTATCAGGCCGTGATGTGGGCCCTAGGATTGAAGAAATTTTGCCTTTATGTGGGCAAGACATTATCCAAAGTGGTGTCATTTCGGACAGTACTAAACAAATTCCAAGAACCTCGGAGCATGTTCTTACTTGTGATTCCTTTTCAGAAGCTCAACCTTGGCCTTCAGCTTAGCGTATTCCAACGTCCAATTTTCCTGCAAAATGGGTTTAGTACACACACAAATAACCCATCAAAGAAATCTAAGAAACATTTATGTTTCAGCAATAATAAGTTTGGTTAAATCATATATATATATATATATATATATATATATATATATATATATATATATATATATATATATATATATATATATATATATATATATTACTTGCATACCGATGATTCAGAGTTATTAGCAAGCAAGCGTCTCTCTGCGTATGAATATCGTTCATATCGCTCCAGAATCTTCTCCATGCTGCCATTACAGGGAGCTTATAATCAGCATCAATGGCAGTTTGTATACAAGAAAATATTTACTTTTACTACATTGCTTGTATATACTCTTTATTTTTGAACTTTAGAAGTGTACTGTCCATTATTGACTACATCGTTATCTAAACCAACAACTTCAAATATTCATCATATAATTAAGCCTATACTTGTATATATTAACCAAGTATTTTGCCCTTTATACATATATATATGGAACAAGTTCCATAATCAGGTGAGAACCAACCTTAACCTGCGAACTTGTGAAGGATTGGACCGCACTTACTACGTGATTGCACCACAATCGGATACGATTGCACTGCAAGGTCTTTTAGGCAAGTCTGGGAGCCGTGGAAGTGCAATCATATAACCGTTGCGGTGCAATACTTCACAAGTTCGCAATTCGCAAGTTAAGGTTGATTCTCACCTGATTAGAAATCTATGGAACATTATATTAAACATAATTGAAAACCTAGGAGAACACTTACTAGGTTCTACTTGGTTTATTATCACCAAATAATGTTTCATATTGGCTATCTAATTAAGTATCTCAATGACATAAGTTAAGAAAATGGATTACTAATTAATGATAACCAAGAGTGACACAAGGCTAAAAACACTATGAATGTATAACAATTCACCGAATAAGTGATCAATTATTTAACTCTTTATTTCACAAGCTAAAACCCGAAAAGCTACTCTTAATAACATGTTAGAAACTAGTTGCATTGCAAAACCTAATAGTATTCTTTAGCAAGATGTTAATCAATACATTCAAACAACTTCAAGATAATACCCTTTGGTCATTAACCTCTTCTTCATCAATACATCAAACTTTTAATTAACCTTTGAATCATCAATATATGAAGCTTTTATTTACTCAACCTGTCCGGTCACCACCACCACCACCACCATCATCATAGCTTTACTTTTCCACAAAATAAATTAAACACAAATAAAATAATAAAAATTTAACCAGGCCAACACTAACCAAATATACCATTTCATATATGCTTGGAATACATACATAGATACATACAGACAATGCATGTATGTATGTGTGTGTGTGTATATATATGTATGTATGTATATATGAATTAACTATGATAAATTACAAGAACCTAAGAAAACTTTCTTCAATGGTTTCCAAAAAAAAAAAAAAAAAAAAAAAAAAAAAACTTTCTTCAAAAGGGGTAAAGTTACAGTAACTTTTAGATCCACCTTAATTAGCTTAACTAATTGTAGTAAAGAAATACAAAACATTAATTGTTGCTAAAGAAACACAGAAATCTTTACCCTTATCCTTCATCAAAATCTGAATATTTCTCAATATAATCAAACACTATATATATATACTCCTCAAACATATAAAAACTTAATTCTACAAGCAAATTAAACCTAAACCTAAGCTACCATAGATATGAAATCAGCTGTGAAAGAAAGAAAACATAAAAGAAAGAGGGAAATGATGATGAATGACAATTAAACAAGAAAGCCATGGAATGAGAAAAGAGAGGTTTTCCCAGATAGATGTGTCATGAAAGTGGAAACCCTAGCTGTGGGAAAGAAAGGAAAGTCCTAAAAATCTATTTAAAAAAAAAAAAAATCATGGATATATATCTATGCACATATACATACAAGTTAAGGTTGTAATGGGTTACCAGGAATCAGTTGAGTATTCAAAAAGCTTTCCCTTATGGGAGAAGACAATCAAGCCCACTTCTGCATCACAGAGCACAGAGATTTCATGAGCTTTCTTCACCAATCCACCTCTCCTCTTTGAGAACGTAACTTGTCTGTTTATCTTATTCTCTATCCTCTTCAGTTCCACCTTTCCTCTCCCCATCTCTCTCTCTCTCTCTCTCTCTTCTTTCTCTCTCTACCTTATGGGATTTTTTTTCTTTTCCTCTCTTATCTCAAGCCCAGCAGCTGCCCACAATCCTCAGCCAGACAACCTAAAAATAGAAACCCTGGGATTTATTAGTACTAATCATGGTGTAAAGTTGGATTAAAATATTCAAATTAATAAATTAAAAAACAAAGAAAAGAAAAGACAAGTTTTACTTTTTTATTTTTACTTTTTTTTTTTATTTACATGGAATTAACAAAAAACCCATTTCTTGGTTTCCCATTTTCTGATGAGTACCTGAGGTGATCAAGATTGAGTTGATTTAAGAAAAGAAGAGAGGTAGCTAGGTTGTCGGAAAAGGCTGTACGATAAATACTATGAGAGATTGTTTATGCAGATGTATTTGCTTGGCATTTTTAGACTTCATTACTATATTTGATGATAGTATTCGTTTTGAAGAATTTGTGTGTTTATTACTTTATTGTCATATCAAGGTCATTACACAAAAATTATGATTAGTAGCGAATAAGAAAATTTTTTGTAGCAATTATCTCCATGTTGCTAGACTTATCAACCCTTCGAGCCTCTGTCCAACATTTATAAACTCATTATTTTAATTAAAACAATACAAATCCATCAAACAAATTTTATATTCAATTGAAGTGTACGGAACTTGGGAATTTTTAATTTATTTTTTTTGGGTATTCAATTTGACTAAATATTAAAATGTATAATACTCTCTTTTGTCCAACAATCCTCTCCTAGTACTTGTGGTCATTGCACATTTCGATGATAAAATGTTAAACTTGAGCAGTTGAGCCACCAAATTTGAGCCAACATGGGGTTTTAATTCCATTTTAGATGATTCAATAGAAAAAATGTTATTTTTCTCATAATTTTACATGATTTAATCCTGATATATCATTATTTTTGCTGAAAACAATAGAAAATTGGCACTGTCTGTTGAGTCATTGAGTCATGATTTACATACTCTCAAATACTCTGTCGGACTGGAGTATGATGAGCGCTAGGAGTTAGAGATTCAACCGTTTAGGAGAAAAAGAAAACAATATAAAATTTATTCATATTTATTGATTACATGTAAATGTTTTTGCTAATTGACTAATCAATCAAATAATGGAATATCATAAAAATAAGTATGTAATAAAATAATTACAAGTAAAAATTGAAAGGCTTTAAAGTTTAAACTGGCCCTGCCATGGTCAAAGGATACAAACATCAATTTTAGTCAAACAATTAGCCAATATTTTAAATTATCTAAGATTTGTTATGATATATTCAAACATCAAGTAATTAATTTGGTGTATCAGTCAGTAATGTCAAATCGAGAAAAAAATTCCAAATAAAAGAAGTATGGGTGGATCTATATTTGTATCATTTCGAAAAGTATAGTAGCAATAGAACTACTTGTTTATTCATTTTTTTACCTAGCTATATATAAACAAGTATTCAAAAAAGTAAATAAAACAATACTTTATAATAACATTGTACAAGGTAATGTCATGGTATTAAAAAGAAAAATACTGTTCATCCATCATCCATGGACTATAGTACGTTGCATTTCCATTTTAGGCCCCAAAATCTCTATTCATAAATATTTTGGTGTATAGACTTTCCAAAATCAACTAAATTCAATTCAAAATAACTAAAATATACTCATATTTGTTCTCTAAAAAAAACATCCTCATATTTAAAAAATAATAATTTGAAACGTCACGGTTAATTCAACTATTGTGTGCATGTATGTCCCATATTAATGAAGTCATCCCCTACCTGTTATAGAGATCCTTCACAATGATCACTTGGACATCCCTACTACGAGACTAATTGAGAGACACCCGTGAGACTGGTGTCGGACACTCCCCCCCCCCCCCCCCCCCTATTGATGATCCAAAAACAAAATTTCACAGGCATGGGCCAGTAAGATGATTCTGAATTTGTCTCACAACGATAAGAATGACATATATTATGCACAAAAAAAAAAAAAAAAAGTAAATCAATTTAAACAAATATACAAATCAAAAGAGACTGAATTTATAGTGGGAAAATTGTAATATTTATGTCCCTCCATAATATGTCAATTATAAATGTCACTTCTGAATTGTTAATAGTGTAAATGTTGCCCTTCAATTTTTAAAACGGTACATATATTGTCTCTCCCGCACCATATGGGAGAAAAATTGAGTAGCAACATTTACACTACGGGAGGGCAATATATGACTGCTGGAAATTATGAAATTTCCGACCACCTGAAAGTAAACATCAAGTCGAAAGCCTTGTTCCGACCACTTTTAGTATCCGAAAAAACCTTTTTTGCTATTTCCGACTACTTTTCGCTTTCAACTTGATTTAAGATCACTTTCAGGTGGTCGAAAATTCCATAATTTCCAGCCGTGAATGTACCATTTTGAAAATTAAATAACAACATTTACATCAGTACAAATAATTTAAGAGTGACATCGATAATTGACATATTATGAAGTGACATAAATTACAGTTTACCCATTAATAGTTAATGAATAAAAGTAAAAATATCACCATAAAAACAAGACTATTAGTAAGCTATGCTAAGTATATATGCAGGATAGTAGCATCATGCGTTTAAAGCAAGCCTATAAAAATAGACAGTAGTAGTCCGTAAATAAAAGATGAGAGTAGTATAGCCATTGTTCATTTTTACGCAAAAAAACATATATATACAAACCAAGAAATGAACCACCCTATTATATAATCTGGTGTATGTTGGTTGCCCTATTTCTGACCTGGTTTTTTCACAGTGATAAATGATCATAGCTGAAGATAAGAAAGAAAAGGGGTTGTCTGTAAAAGCAGTGAATAGATTAGCAACAGAAGTGGGGGAGACGACAGAGGATGTGACACCACAGAGACAACATGGAAGAGGAAGATGATATACAAGGATGTGCTGTCGAGTGGTGATTGGGTGAGGGAAACTTAGCATCAGTCCGAGGGTGTGGAGCTCACAGGTTTTAATTGGAACTGATTCGAATATATGTGGTTGGATCTGTCATGTCTTACAACTGTCGCCGCCGGGTGTTTCACACAACAATTTAATTCACAGCTCCCATACCCACCATGTTTGGATCAACAATTTTTTTTTTTTTTTTTCTTACTGTTCGGTCCGGGACGGTAAAAGGTTTAAAAGGCTGAGTTCGGCATTTAACGTTTTGAAAATGTGTAACGATATAAGGAATAAAGTTGCCTATTCTCTAGTGATTAACTAACTATAGCTTACTTTTAACGTAGTGATAAGCGCTTAACGCTTAAAAGGCCAACAAATAACATTTAAGATTGATTGGGGATAGCCTGTTAGGAGGAGGAAATTGTTGGGCGGAAGTCGGTAAAAGGCTTGTCATGTCTAGCACCCAGACCTAGTCCCTAACACTAACATTATATTTAAGACTGGTTAGTGCGGGAAGGGAGAAATTGTGTGCTTAAAAAGCTAAATTCAGCACCCAGAATCTCAAAATGTGTTGCAGTATAACGAAATAGCTAATATATTCATATTTTTATATTTATATGTCAAAGTCTACCGTGCGTATTGACACTAGCACCACTTGTACATGGCATATATAAGCCAAAAACTTTAGGTGACTTTGTGTTTATATTGGATATTATGGGAACAATGTCACAAAAGTATTTGATACAAACCTAATGTCTTTCTTATTTATTTTTTACTTGTATAGAGTGCAATAGTCAATAGGCATCAAGAACAATTGATACATTAGGATTTTATATATATATATATATATATTATAAATTGACCATAATCAATATGTAATATTATGTTTTTAATGATTACTAGTATTTGTCCCGTGCGATGCACGGCATAAAATTTAAGTAACTTTATTATAGATAATGTTTTTTAAAAAACAATAAAATGAAACATAAATCATGAAAATTCATTCTAAAATGTATTTTTCTTTTGCAATATTAAATTGGTTGTTATATTGAACAATACAACATATACTATTAGCGTATACTATAAAGCATTGCATTGTGTTATTAGATACCACATGAGATTTGAAATTTTTTTACATTTAGCATTCCTCCAACGCCAAAGCCACCAGCATGCTATTTATAATACTTATTTTTATAATTCTGTGTAAAAAGTAGATTAACCATATTCAAACAAAGCTTGAGTAGCTCAAATTTATTTATAATACTACTCCATTTAAAGTTTAAATTCTATTCTCAAATCAAGATAACTCAGTGTGCATTAGGGATCTGTTCATTTTAGATATAATTCTTACACTATTATTGTTGAATTTCAAACATTAATTTTTTTTCTAAATACATATATCGAACATGTGAGCTAAACTGGTCCGATTATTATTATTTATTTCAATAGATCAGTACGCAATTATCCGTACATCGATAATGGAGAGATGTTGTTGGGACACAGGCCGACGTTGAGTTTAAAGTATGTGCTGTCAATTGCTTATTGGTTTAGCGTTTTGTGCACCAGGCAAAAACTAACGGTCGTCTATGTTTGGGTTTAACGGTGTCTCGTGATCCCAAGAAAAGCTTTACAATAATATTTAATACGGAGTATCAATTATATTATAAATAAAAAGGGATAATCAAACCAAGTTAAGGTATCAAGTTGGACTTTCAAATTTAACTCTCGGTAGGAGTTAGGGATGACAATGGGTCGAGTGTAGGTTGGGGAGGGCTACATCCATCACCCGACCCACATTATATTTTCTTCACTCACCCCTACTCCCAACGCACATCGGGTGGACTTTTTCAAAACCTACCCCACCCCCATCGGGTGCGGGTGCCCACCACGGTACCCACCACTTGTAATCGTATTATTTTTTTTCCAAAAAATAATATTTAAATTAACTACACATAATAAAATAATAAAATTCATTAGTTATATAAAACATAAAATAATAGAAATATTTAAATATAATAACTAAATTGTTAATTTTTAAAGATAAACTTAGTAGTTTAGATATAAAAATAGTAAAAATTTACATCAAGTTATAAAATTTTTTATAAATAACTACATGGTAGATCGGGTGGGGTTCTAGGCGAATTTTGTACATAGAACCCGAATCCAACCCGACCCACCACCCACTACAATCCAAAAAAAACCCGATCCATGCGGGGTGGACATTCACGGGGCGGATTGAAATTGTCATCCCTAGTAGGAGCTGAATGTTAGTATGATGCGTAGATACATGGGACAAAAAGTGTTCTATTTCAAACATGGATTCATATAGGGGTCACACTTGTGTGAAACCATTTCACAGATCGACGGATTGAGTCATGTCATAATGAAAATGTAATACTTATACTGAAAAATGTAATACTAATCAGGAGAAATGTAATACTTTTGATGAAAATGTAATATTATTACATTTGACAAGTGTTTAAGGAAAAATATAATACATTTAAATCAAAATGTAAGTATTACATTTTTATTCAAAAGTATTACACTTTTTCATACAAGTAATAAACATTTTATTCTTAATTTCTTAATTTGTATTATATTTTTCACCTATAAATATTACATTTTCATATTGATATAACCTGTCTCGGCTCTCGCGAACACTTTCTCACAATTAAGTTTTTACCTTCATATAAATTAATATGACCGGGGTTGCAATTGGTGGATCATCTTATTGGGTAAAAGCACATAGGGCTAAGTCTAACATCATTGTCGATGATAAGTAGGGCTAGTTTCTACCCAAGTAAAACAAATAAAGTTATGTTTTTGCTACTAACAATAACTTTTGATGGTGTATTGTTGTAATAAGAAATTAATCCTAACACTTCCTTTAACCCTTTAGCGCATTCTTCTCTATTGGCCTATTTGGTACACAGAAATTGAAATTCTTTTCTCTTGTAATTCTTTAGCATGTACAATTCTATTGTTTGGTTTGAGGGAATTACAAATCCTTCCAACCATGGAATTGAAACTTTTCTCTCTCTCTCTCTCTCCACCTCGGAATTGAAATTCAGCAGCAAATGTAAGAAAAAAAAAAGATTGTACTAACAAATTTACCCTTATTATTATTACTAGTTTTTTTTTACGCGCTTTGCGCGAATGGGATAATGCCCAATAATTATTTTTAAATAAGTATTTCAAAGTATATCAATGTAATATTATATAGGAGATGTTTATGCATAGGTAAATAAATATTGTCAATAGAGGATGCTAATAAATAATTCAAAATATATGGTTACAATAGATATTGATATAATGATATAGTAAAAAATATTAATACCATAATGGCCTAAATCATTTCAATAATGCAAAAGCATAATTTAAATATTATGTTTTGTTCTAAATAATCAGATGAAAATTAGTTAAACCAAAAAAAAAAAAAAAAAAAACTTAACCTAAATTTGATTTTTTTTTTTAAAATAAAAAATTCATGAAAATCAAATAATAATTTTAAAGTAGTTCCTGATTTATAATCTTTGATGCTCAACTTTGAATGTTATGTATTTAGTCGAGCTAATTATTTTATCAAAGTTTATTTTAAATTTTATATTATATTTTTTTAATACATTTTAACATATTCATAATATATGTTTAACAATTATGCCAACTATACTTGGGATGAGGTTCGAACCTAAGACCTTATATAAATTAAGAGTATGTTAATAATAATAAATAGTTAACGGAATATTCCGTTACTAAAGTTTAAACTAACGGAATTTAGGGTTATTTAAGGGAAGAAAATAATATAATAGAGGGTAAAAAAGGCAAATCATTAAAAGATACTAAAATCAAAATAATATGAACCATTCATTTTAAGAAACAATTAGTACCGACATTTTTTTTGTTCCAGTTAAGGGCCTAACATTATTCGCTCTTATTAGATTTGTAGATGTAGATTATTATTATTATTATTATTATATCATTACACAAAGGGTATTTTAGTCTTTATATCACTTATTGTTTTTCAATTGTCAGTAATTATATTCCTACCTACCCAATAATAAAATTTGAATTATTACTTTATTATTTTTATACGAAATTACAATTCATTTCTCTCATAATTTCCTCATTCCAATCAAACGTCCTGCCCTAAGAGGATTGGCATGCAATATAATGTGTGTCTCTTTATAAGCAAACATTATCCATGGCGTACACTTCTTTTTGGGTGGTGGGGAGTTTTTTTTTTATTTTTAATAACATTTATTCATGTGTAAATAGGAAAAGAAGCAAATATGGCATAGTTTGCAAACTAGAAGTTGAAACAAAAAATGGACGATACAAATACACTTCCTCGTATTGTCTCTTTGTGGTAATAAATTTTGTCCACATGCTTTATTGTTTAAAGTATCCCATTTTACATATATAATATTTATTATTCATTAATTAAACTAACTTTTCTTCCTTCAATTTTTTTTTATATAAAAAATAATTTTTAAATTTATCAATTTCTGTTTAACAGTATTTTTAAAATAAGATTATATATATATATATATATATATATATATATATATATATATATATATATATATATATATATATATATTTTATACACTAGTAATAAACTTAATATTATTTTTAAAAATTATAAATAGCTTGACTCAAGTTTTAATATTCAAATCATATACATAAAGTGGGACAAAATAGTATTTATTGCTATTATTACAATTACAATATGTGACTATTGTGCAAAGGCAAAGAAAACCGAGTCCAACATCTTGCATCGAAACGTGACACTAATTGTGACGCAAGTATAAATAAATAAAGTTGTATATTCGCTACTAGTCATAGCATTTGACATGCATAATGGTAACTCCGTAACTGCTTGATTCTGACAATTAGTATCGGAGTATGTCATTGGTGAGGGCTTGGAAAGGCGAGCCCAACATTCTACTATTGAAACATGCATTAAATTAATGTTTACACAAATATAAGATTATGTATTCGCTACTAAATGTTTGATCCTAACATATATTGTCTCCCTCGAAATCACACTATATATACACTTAGATAAAGACATAACTTCTTCCAAAAAACAATAAGGGTTTAGAATTTTAGTTTAGTATGGTCTTAGGAATCAATATCATTATTCGATATTATTCATTTATTGTACTCATTTTTATTTTCGACAATAAGATCGAAATCAACGTTGTAGAATCAGAACAGTATATACTCCTTGAGTTAAATTAAAGCATCCATCCGGGAAGAACTCCGGCTCCATTCATTGTTGAGGTTCCGACATTATTATTTGCCTGCATCGATGTTGGGTTGTACCTACCATAAAATGGTTTAAAACAAATGAGAAATAATTATCCAAAAAAAAAAAAAAAACATAGAAAAAGAGGGACACTTCAAATTAAAACACACCCAATTTGAGCTGTGTTTTGGCATTGCTGAGAAGAAGAATGTTGTCCATATTGCATGTTTTGCCCTTGGGGTTCCCATGGTGTTAGAAATGCATCATTATTACTGCTTTCTCCCAGCTGCCACAGGGCATAATTGATAATTCACCACCAAAAAGATATAATAATGTTAAAGAATACAGGAAAAATTATCGACCACTTTATACCACACTAGGAAGACTCTAGCACGAAAAGTGTGTCGTTAGCAAGAATCAATTCAAGCTCTTAGATATTTAGACACAAAAATCATGTTTCAATCTGCCCACGCAGCCATCCCCCTTTGGGACAATGTGGTTATGTTTTGTAATTTACTACACAAGCACTCCTTAGTCAATTAGTCGATTATATTGTAGCAATTGTTTTAACCCTATTTGATCCAAAATTGGATAAATTGATATAGAAACCATAACAATGTTAGGGCAAATATGAATTATTATTGATACCAACAATACGAGGTATAATTTGTTAGGTCTATATATATTTGTACCAATTATAATTCAATACTCATGTCGATCAACACCTTAATAATTCTTAGAATAAATTCTTTGTATTTAGTATTTTTTTTCTTAATTACATAAAAGTGGGAGTGCCAAAATAATATAGAAAAAAGCTGAGCAATATGGAGTATGGACAGTGATGTTGTTTTTAAAGGATGCAAGTAGCTTTATGTAAGGATTTAGTACCTTGATCCTTAAAGCTTTGTTGACTTCAAGAAGATTTTGTTCCTGTAAAAGTGCACAAAGCACAAAGTTCATTCAAAACCCACTTTTACATTTTAAGTGGAAAAATCTATTTGTACACAAGAATTTATATATGCAGTTGCCCCTGCTGGCCAGATTGATTTTGTCATACAAGGGAAGGTGGGAGGGTTTTGAACTCCGGACCTCTTTGAAGGGATGAGAGTGCACAGTCACTCACACCAACAAAACTGGTTGCACTGTTACAAATTTTTATATTAATTATATTGGTTATTAGTTATGTCGGTTTCTTATGCTTACCTTTTGGTGAAGTTCTGATAATTGATCAATCATGTGTTTTGTCTGCAAAACAGGATCAAGAAATTCTCAAAACCGTGATAGTATATAGAATCAACTAAAAGGTATTGACAAAAATCAAGTTCGTAATTTTCAGTTACCAGAATCATGGTTCAGCCACTCGACCACCCTTTTGGAGCGTGTATTATTCAACATTTGTTTATTTTAGTAATTATGGGACATAATTCATGGGACTACATACTCACCCTTGTTGACCTTATACTTTTCAATGATGTATCCACCTGGTTTTCTAGTTGCTCCAAATCCTTAATGCCCAGTTGCACCAAATCTTCTCCAAGCAGATGCCTGGAAAGCTAAGTAAATTATATTAATATATTTACAGGAAAAAAAAAAGTATTTACCTTAATTTCTACTGTCATAATAGTGTCTGGAAAACTAAAAATTTAATTTTAGTGCAGAAAATGAAACACATTGGATTTGGACAGTCAGATATATATCTTCTTGGTCTCTAATATAATAAACCTTTGGGATTGTTGTAGGACTTCAACTCCAGCTTTTAGCTTCAAATACTCCTGGTAATTGCTCTGATCAACAAACAACAACGTAACTAATTAGAAATGCATCTTTTTTTTTTTGGTGCATTAATAAAAAAAACAAAAGATTTACCGTGTATTTTTATAATTGTATAATTATAAATAAAACTACTTAGTATGATGAATGCGACAGCCCATCATCGGTATGAGCCCCCACGTCATTCAATGACAGGATATTCGACTTGGCTCTCCAAGAACCATTTCCTCCTAGTTATAAACTACTTAGTATGATAAATGCGCTAGTCCATCACCAAAAGGGGCCTGCACTCAGAGGCTCAGTGACACCTAATGATCTTGTGACATGCTCTGATACAAATTGTTAGGATCAATCGCTTACCACTACACTAAAAGCTATAGCTAGCTAGAACATAGTGAAATCTATTTCCTTATACTTGTATAGCTGTCAGCATAATGTTTCAACGACAAGATACTGAACTCGATCCTACAAGCCGGGCACTCTCAGTGCTGAGAGCCCATGCTCAGCTCGGAATCTAATATGAGTACAAGCCCCAACCGATTATGTTGCGCTGACGCTCGAACTCCACATTAACCCAAGAAAGAAAGAAATTAAAGATCAGCTCGCATGAACAGCTCAGTTGGCCACAACACACAGGTGTGAAGTTTGGGAAGAACAAGAAATTAAAAACCACTTGATCATTGGGAATTGGGAAAGTAGTTTATTATATTTCCTCAATTATATTACCTGTGAATCCTTGGATGTTTGGTTGGCTTCAAGTGCACCATAACTGCATTTATGGTACCTCTCTAGGGTCTTAGAGATACTGCAACAAAAGACAATTCCACAACACTCACACTTTTCAGCCTCAGTCAACATACAGTAGTGTTCAAAGATTTGCATGTGCCGCACATTATGACTTCATTTTCTTGAATTTTTTTTTTCTTAATCACCCATACATAATCATTAGAATCATATATGTCTTGATATTAGTCAACAAATCCTTGATTGGTTGCTGTATATGAACACATATGAATATCTGAATATTTGACCAACAAACAAAGAAACAAATTATCACTTGACATAAAGTGAAACATCCAAGAATTATGATCCTATGACCATCAAACCTCAATTGCATTATTCTAAGACAGACAACACCCCAATTATTTATTTATTTATTTATTTTGTTAAGCTTTATCTATCAAGAATTCAAGACCAAGAAAGCAATTCAAGGCTCTTCTTTTTTAGCATGCTGTCAAGCTCAAAAAATGTCAATATATACATGAATTGAGCAAAAGAAACAGATCACCATGTAAGATTTTTTCTCTATATATATTAAGACGTTAATTATATGGAGCAAGTTTAATTAATTAGGCTTGAGTTTTGGTCAAATCGAATGACGGCGGTTGGCTTATCATATACTATGCTTATATAATATTTCTATTGATGAGATATAGCATACACTGTTTACTCTGCTGCTACGACGAGATTAGATTTCGGGTCAGTTCATTTTATATTATATTTATATCTATTAGACAAATCAAAATTTGAACAAGAACTAGAATTCAAGTAGCAAATACTCCATTACCATCAGAGGGAATTGAATGGTATTTCCAGAAAAGAAAAAAAAAAAAGATTCACTCTTTTTCCCAAATCAAAATGATTAAAAAACACATTTAATTTTCCGATCCATCCATCTTATTGGAAAATTAGAATTAACAAATAAGAATTTAGAGGGCACTAATCCCTTTTAATCCCATCAATTGTCAATTCCTTCTAAACCTTTTGATCACAAACACTTTATTATATACCCAACTTATTCAAACGAAAAATAAAACAAAAATAAAAGTCAGATATCTCTTTCAAGATCTATGCATCAAATTTCAGCATAGTTAAAAATGTGATTTTTATATCTATTTTTCACCAAAATAGTGATGTGTAGAAAGCTACCTATAACTTCAATTTTTTAATTTTTTTTGGGGGGATCAAAATCTTTACTTTATACATAATTAATTAATTAATCTAATCTAATATGAAACCACAAAAATAAATAATAAAAAAACACCAAAAAAAGGGAAAATTCAAGATCTAAATATAAAATTAAGTACCTTGAGCTACTGCAGAATTCATAGAGCTTTCCTCTATTGGAGAAGATGATAAGAGCAACCTCAGCATCACAAAGGATAGAAAGCTCATAAGCCTTTTTGAGCAATCCATTTCTTCTCTTTGCAAAGGTCACCTGCCTGTTTATCTTGTTCTCTATCCTCTTCAATTCCACCTTTCCTCTCCCCATTTTTTTTTCTCTATATATATGTATATGTATAGCAGTACATGTATATGAATGAAAAGAAATGAAAAAGAAAAAATTTATTTTCAGGAAATGATAAGATTACTTAAAAAATAGTATCTACCCATCAACAAACTCTTACCAAGATTGGATCTTTTTTGCCTTAAAAGCCTATTGGAGGAAAGTATTTTGTTATATATTTAGCCTCTTCTCTCTCCCTCTATTTCATCTCTTTTTTTGTTCTTCAAGGATGGCAGCTGTTCTTAGGCTCTTAGGTTTCCAGGTGTATATATATATATATATATATATATATATATATATATATATATATATATATATATATATATATATATATATATATATATATATATATATATGTAATATATGCACTATATAGTATATATGTGCATTTTTAATATAATTTCTTGTGGACAGATATGTATGTATAGAATGGTAAATATTGTAGCTAAGTGGAGAGGGTGTATATATGGCAACCCCGTGAGGGTGCTTTTTGTAAGTATGTCTTGGTTTGTATAAAAATGCTTTTCCTGGCTAAGAAGATAGCCAGATGCCAAAAATATCTTTCAAATTTTTTTTAAAAAAAAAAAAGGATTTTTTTTAAAATTTTTTTTTTTTGATATTTAGTCTTTTCTACTTATGGTTTCTGTTTTCTTGAGAAAATATTTTCATGATTTTTCTGAAAATATTCCCTATTTTTTGGGTAATTCTCCCCTTTCCACTTTTAAGCTAGTCAACTAGAGTTTATTCGATTTTTTTCTCATATGATATTATTTTTACTTTTAATTAGTTCTTAACCTTGATTTAGTTTACATTTTCAAAAAAAAAAAAAAAAAAGTGGAATGAATTTCGATTTTAACTAGTGTAATCTTTGAATTGTGTAGGATTTAGGGTTTATTTTTAAACTAGGTATAGTTCAAGCTTCACCAAAAATATTGTAAGCCAACAAATTATATATTGTTGTAACCATATTCATGTGTATGTTTACAAGTAAAATACCCCTATATTATTAATTAATTTATTTATTTGTGTATAGTTGATGAAGTAAATATATATACTGTATACATTAATTAAGACACTTACGTTCATGTATCACCACCAAACTAATACAAAACAATTGTAGCAACCTTTAATACGAATTAAATGATTAAAACATTTTTATAAGAGTAGTCGAATTCGATAAAACTACAGCAAAATTGGTCAGATAATTTTCTCAGTAATCACAATAACGTTTCAAATTTGACTTCCAATAAAATTTGTATATGGTCATCCCAATTTGAACTGATCAACTATGAGTAACCTAAACTGGTTTATCTCATTGTGGGTTTTTGCCGGCTAGGTCACACACTCACACTTTAGGAGTTTAGGGTATTCTTTTTACTATTAAGTCAAACGGTTATTTCAAAATGAAATCATGAAGGCAAACACAAATAATATACATTTGAAGTGCAGCTGAAATCAACATTCCATTTTTGTTAGTCTTCTGTATAACTTTATTTCCATCCATTTTAATGGAATATTTACTTTATTTTTGACAAATCCTACCTAAACAATTAAAATAGAAAACTAAGCTTGCAACCAAATATAATCATTAGTTATATATGGGAGAGTACAAAACTGACTCATTGGTGCTATTAATACGGTCTGAATATTATAACTTATGTGTTATTTAATTAACAAATATAACTATCACTCTATCAGCCAAGTGAGCCAACTCGATCTGGGTCTTCTAGTTTGAAGTACATTTATAAACTATAAAAAAAATATAATGTTGCATTAGATGAGAAATGCATGCATTTACTCAATGAAAGCAAAGAAGAAACTATATATGTGATTACATAGCAGTTTCTTTCGTAGTAGTTACTTAAAATTTTAATTTTTAATAAATCCTAAGATTATTACTTATAAATTTTCTTATGGTGTTAATAGTATCAGATATAACCATGTATTGTGTACTACTATACTAGCTAACATCGCATATTGTTATTACTAATGTTAATAAGATTTGAGCGGGTCGAGCATGACATGCAGATGAGATGCATTCTTGTAGTCTCCTGGCTTTTATAGCATTGAACTAGAAGCACATGCTAAAATTCCGCCAATAAGAATACGTGGTGCTCATCTACTGATCAGTCAAGTCGGTCACGCCTTCTACCTTATCTGAGGTGACTTGAATTGATAGGATGACTGAAGAGATGCTTTACTCACTTGTTTCAACAAGGTCGAGTTCCAGGTCTCGTCAAACGAGTATGTACAATTGAGAGCAAACGTATATGCTCCGTTTATTCTTATTAACTTTCTTGATTGAACTCGTTATACAAACAATACCGATCAGTGCGATAAAAACTTATATTACCTATAAGTTATTAGAATAAGGGTCAAATAGGTCACTCAACTGAACACCAAACTGCAATTAGGTTATTAAACTAAAAAAAAAAAAATTACAATTAGGTCTCTAAAATATATGAGTTTGTATTGTTCAGGGACTCAATTATATATATTTTTTTCAATTTGATGACCTAATTACAATTTATTGTGCACTATAGTGTAACTCACAATTACATGTTGCTTGAGTGCTTGACCATGGTGTCAAGTCAAACCCTACATTAAACTTGGTGAAATGACGTGTCGAGCAAAGAAGGGGCAAGGCATGCCACTATGTCCATGGAACAATTTATGTTGGACATTGAGACCATTAAGCCCTTATGTACATTGAGAAATTACAAACTTTTAGAAACCAGCTGTCCAATCAATCAATATTCGAATTCCCAATATATGGAAACCGTGAGAAACATCATCAGAGGGTCTGTCAGCGACAGTTCCGAAGGACCTCAAAATTGTGGAAAAATAATTATTTGGGTTAACTACCGATGTAGATATTTTAAATTAAGTTATACGACATGTGCATTCAAAAAAAAAAAAAGTTATACGACATGTATTTCTTATTTATATTTTCTCTTTTATTCGCTGATGTGATAATTGATGATTAGTTATCTTTATTATGTAAATCTTATTGAAAAGGTCACGAGTTTAATTAATTTGTAATCATATAAGTAAGGTAAAGTACATTAAAAAGGTTGTATGTGACAGGTTTGACCAATAAAATATTAGAAAGAATCAAATTCGTGACTTTGTAATATGATAAATATGTTCCACAATTATGATCACCTCTTTCAGGTCATTAACATTTTTTCTTTGAATTATAATATATCTATATAAAGTGAGCTCATATATCGGGTGAAAAGTTTGTGTCGATCAAATAATGGATTATATTCAACACAGCAGTGACTTCGCTCCAAAGCAATCCAAATTTAGTATGATATCAGATATTAAGTGTTATGGTACCAAAAAACAATTGATTATATTGTATGAGATAATGATTGATACAATGTAAGTATGTGACACCATGCATAGTGAACATTATAAAGTTATATTCTCAATTTTATTTTATAATGATAATGATTAACCAAAAAATCTTGTGGTCAAGCGCTATGACTGTGAATCTCCCAAATAGTTAATGATTAATCATACCTATTTTTTTTTAAAGAAAATTTAATTTTTAATTTGAACTGATGTAATTTGATCACCGATTGAATTATAATTAACCAAGTTAATTTTGGTTAACTCCTAATAAAAATATAAATAATATTATTAATATTAATATTAACTACAACAACCATCATCATCATCTAGTGTCATGCTATTATATTTTCTTGGGGTCTAACACTCTAACTTATTATTTAAATTTGATACAAATATCTAATTACGTATTCTTAGTGGCTACGAAATCGAAAACCTTTATTTCTTTTGCATGTATTTGTACTTTTGAATAGACAATAATTTACACTCCATTTTTCTTATTAAGTCTTTTATTATTTAATAATGTAATTTACTTTTTTTAAAAAGTAATAATAAAATCGATTAATTTATAATACCTCTCTAATGAAAAAAAAAAAACTATAAAAATGCTTTAACAAAACTATAAATATTTAATATGAATTTGATATAAATAATATTTTCTTTCGAAATCAAAGAGTATATAGGTATGTAGCACTACCACAATTATATTGACACTGCAACAACGAAACAGTAATAATAATAAATTGGTTGTATAAATACGAAGAAATATCCAACCATATGTCGACACGTTAGCGTACTTGAAGTCTGGAATCGATAACGACAGCATCTCATGTCTTGGGTGCAGTATCAATGCTTCCCTTGTTAACATTCATTAATTATTAGGTAAAATGTAGTTTTTTTTTTTTTTTTCCCTTTAAATATTAATTCTCTAATGTCTACTACGGAGTAGTTTTATAAATAACAATAATAAGTGGGTAAAATAACTGGATTGGTTTAATAATCACAAAGTTTAGAGTCAATTATTGAAAATTTAGATTAGTTTATTTTCTTATGATCTTTTGTATGTTAGAGTCACAAGGCAAGAATAATTACCTAGTGTATACTTTTGGATAGTGACTGTAAATTTTCTACATTATATAAAAATTATAGCTTTGAAATAGGTGAAACATGATTCTCATACGTGCAAGTTACGAATTCAATCCTCGTTAAAGATGTATTGCAAGTTACGAATTCAATCCTTGTTTAGGTTAATGTGGATGGGCGTCATAAGTAAGAAGCAAGTAAAGCTGATGCGTAAAAAGGGAACAAGTTGAATCTTTCAAAACGTATAGTTTGAGAAAGTAAGTTTAATGAAGATAAAGTGATGAACTATATGTTTGTGGGGTATTTATCTAAGGCTAGGGTTGGTTAGAGGCTAAACTTTTTATTTTGAAGTATCTCCTCCCACTTGATGGAGTATTTGTTGTGCATCCGTATGCACCATGCATGGTGCATACATATGCAAAAACGACGTCGTTTTATTAAAAACGTGCGTCTCCCCTTAAAAAAAAATTCAGGTTCGATTCTCAGCAACAACATTATGTTGTTCATTCATTATGGAATTTTAGTTCATAGATTATGGAATTTTAGTTTATAGATTATGGAATTATAGTTCATCGATTATGGAATTGTAGTTCATCGATTTTGAAATTTTAGTTCATAGATTATGGAATTTTAGTTCATTCATTCTGGAATTTTTAGTTCATAGATTAGATTCTGGAATTTTAGTTCATAGATTTTGGAATTATAGTTCATCGATTCTGGAATTATAGTTCATCAATTCTGGAATTTTAGTTCATATGTTGTTGCTGGGAGTCGAACCTGAATTTTTTTTTTTAAGGGGAGACGCGCGTTTTTAATAAAACGACGTCGTTTTTGCATCCGTATGCACCATGCAT